ATTGAAAATAATCGACTGATTGACTGAATGACTGATTGATTGATGGACGACGCGCAGCGCAAGCCGTTAGAGCTGGTTAGCTACATTTATCAAATTAGTTTTCTTTTACCACCTTAATACGAAATGGTGTACTTTATTGTATTCTAACTGAAAGTAATCGACTGATTGACTGACTGTCTGATTGATGGACGCCGCGCAGAGCAAACTATCAGAGCTTGCTTGTAAAAACAAAGACGGAATTTTAGGCAAATTGTGTGTGCTATTTATGGAAAATAAGTGGAAGACGTTTGCATGAAACTATCGCACTCTTTGCAAAATTCTTGATGCAAAATTAGTGAATACATTTTTAAACAAATCCACTGAGCTGCTCGGAAAATGGGGGGAATAAGCTTCACACTGTTCGAATTTCATTCCATTTCATTTCCACGATGCGACGTCTGTCTCGCTTGTTTGCACACTAAATTTATTTTCCCCTCCTGCCACACAGATCCGAGCCGCTCTCCGAGGGTGAATTCAATCCGGATGACATTCAGCTCATGCAGACCAACTACAATGGGTGAGTGGAGGCCTCCGAAAGAAAGATGTTAGCCATATTAATTGTGTTTTGCATGTGTTTTTTTGCAGCGCGCAAAACTTTTACTCGCCGAGCATAGATCAGAATATACTGCATCCGGATGTGATTGTGGATACGGACAATCTGTCCGACTGCAGCTCGTCGGCATCGCTGAAGAGCGGCAAACGCAAGATGTCCACGTCCACCGATGGCGACAGCACAAATTACGAGCTGATCGAGTATCTAAAGCGGCGCGAGAAACGGGACGAGGAGCTGCTCAAGCGTATGGATGCGCGCGAGGAGCGCCTCATGAATCTGCTCGAGCGCACAGTCATTGCCATTGAGCAGCTAGCCGCGGGCAAGTCGGCCTCGGCCTCCACGGCATCAGCAGCAGCAGCGGCAGCAACAGCAGAAGCCACATCTACATCGACAGCAGCTGCTGTTCCAGTTGCGCCGGATGAACCCAGCCAGGCTGAATCCATAAAACGTGCCGCCACACCCGCCGATGCAGCAACAGCTGACGTTGCCGTTCCCGTTGCCGTTGACAACGAATCGGATGCCATTGTTCTGCTGGTGCCCGATGACAACAACCAGGAGTTGGCGTCCACACCAGCCGCAGTCGCGGCAGTCGGAGCGGAAGCCGCGGAGCAGACGTAGAAACATGCAAAATGTAATGGAATAATGTACGCAGTGCCAAAGACGAGCCATGTCTCGGAATCTTAATGAGATTTGCAACGTTTACTTAATAGCCCAAGTGCTTAAGGACTCGCATGCATAGTTAAGCATACGGAAACCAAAAAGAAAATCAAAATGAGAAAAGCAACTATTTTATCTTGTCTAAGTTTGATATATTGCCAGACGCAATATTTGTGCCAGCACTAACTTAATTTTTATCTAGGTTAAGGTTCAATGAATCCTCTAGCTATAGACGCAGACCTCTCCACCCAAAACGTTTATATATATATATATTATTTTTTTCTATATGGCCCCCAATCTTAATCATTCTGCATGTTTTGTCAGATGTGACATTTTTTTCAATCATTTTGTCATCTATATTTATATATACACTGTTTAACTGGCAAGTCTGCGTATTGTGTGCTCGGCTTGCGCCGATCTTTTACCCAACTTTTCTATTTTTTTTTTAATTTGTAGTCGTTCACAAGCAAATTATATTTCGAATTAAGTTTGGAGCTAAAATGGGGCTCAAATGCATTTGTGCAGGAACATATTAATATGTATGTATGTTATGTATGTACATCAAATTTATTTTTTTTTTTAATTTAGTTAAATACACAAAAACCAAATTTTGAGAGACGGTTTTTATTTGTTTGCTTTTGCATTTATTTTTGCGACAAGTAAATTTCGGATTGGCTTCCGCTGCCACTCAGCCCATAGACATAAGTTTTATGCCATAATTAATTAAAGTCGCAGCAAATATGAAAATCGATTACAAATCATAGGCAAAAGCTAAACTTATTTAAAGAAAAGTATTTTAAAAATGTATGCTTTATGCAGTAAACTTCGAAATGGATGCCGTTACACAAATCGATAACATATTTTTCGATATATCGACAAGCAAACGATGTTTGCAGTGTTGCCACTTATGCATTAAGCAAACTGCAAAAAATAAATAAATAAGGCATAGCTTTAATCGGCATCACATGCGCGCCTGTAATAATGTCAGCTGAAACATAATCAAATCCTTTTATACCACAACATAGGACTATAGTAGAATAAAAATCCATTCACATTTTTTATTATTTCACTTCTGCGAAATTCAAATGCATGGTATCGATACCCGTTGATTAACGACGTGTACATTTACAGCGTTGCCACCTAGCTAATAAACTCAAGCCTAAAAGCATGCTAAGCTTCATGCATAAAATAATAAGAGGGTCCTTTCATTTAAAAAAAAATCGTTTTTTAAATATATTTAAAACTTATTTCGCTTTTTATTCTTGTTTTTCTTGACATCTTTGCCGGAAATGTTTTTCTGCGTTTTTGCAATTTTCTTGGTTATGAGGAATTTCAGACGCTTCTTGACCTCATCATAATTCTCGTTCTCCAGCTCCGGTTTGCTGGACTTGAATAATTTTGCACCCTCTGTAAGAAAAATGTAGAAGAGTTACATTTGAAAAAAAAAAAATAGTTTTTGATTAGTACCTTTGAGCCTGGCATCATTTTTGGGTATAAAAAAGGTTTCGGTAAAGATTTGTGACTTTTTTTGCTTTTGTTTGCCAGGTTTCTTGACGGGCGCCTCGTTTTCCTTGGCCACCGCCTGCTGCTGTGCATCCGCATCAACATTATCATCCTCGCTGTCGGAAGAATCGTAGCTAAAGGGATTCACTTGGCCCAGACCCAGTTTGTTGGACTTGCTAACCAATATCTTTTCGTGGCTGAGCTTCTCCAGCTGATCCTGCCGCTCGGCGACTGCCTCCTCGTGACTGCTGCCAAACATATCCAACAGACTGAAGCCCTCGCCACGCGTCTTTAGCGATTGCTTAAGCGTGTCGGTGACCACATAGAATGCATTCTGCGAGACGGGCGCCGGCCTGGCGGCGTCTTCAGTGGCTGCTGTGGCTGCTGTGGCCGCCTTTGGCTGCTGCTTGGCGTTGTCATCCTTATTCGACTTGACGCGCAGCATTTTCTGGTGTTCCTCTTTGGCGGGATCAAAGCGCAACATTTTCTTGTTTTTGGACGCTTTGCTGCCGGGCGCATTGCTGGTGTCTATTTTGCGTCCAATAACCTGCTCCAGAATGCCCATTTGCCAGTTGCGTTCGCTTTGCTGCGCATTGTCCTGTTGCTCCTGCTCAGCTGCTGCATCCTCCGCCTCCTGCTCTTCATCCTCTCCATCTTCGCCCACAAAATTGGCTGTTATGCGAAACCTGGGATCCAAACTTTGTTTGCTTTGCATTTCCACAAGGCGTTCGCCCTTCTTGCCGCTATGCTGCGGCAGCAGCACCTCTTGTTCCTGCTCATCATCCTCTTCATCATCCTCGAAGAGATCTTTTTTAGGCTGTTCCTTTTTCGGCTTTGGCGTCACTTCGTCCTCCTCTTCGGCATCGCTGAACTTGATGCGCTTGGCCTGCTGACCCGCCGCCATGGAGCCCAATGCCTGCTGTATGGCCGTTTTCTTTTGTTCGTGCTGCAGCTTCATCTTGTTCAGCGACTCCTTGCGCTTGAGGTCAGCTATTGCAGCCTTCGCATCTAGTTGCTTACTGACGGGCTTCTTGTGCTGCTCAATGATGTGCAGCGGTTTCACGTCGTGCTCCTGCTGGATGACAATCTGAAAGAGACGGCGGATTACAATAATTTCAGAGGAAGTTTTACTCACTGCCCACTCACTTTGCCATTGATGATGGAGTGTGCGGCACGCTTTTTGGTAATCAGCAGCTCGGGCGCCACATCCTCATCGTTGATCTCCTCGTGCTCCCCAAATACGCGTCGCTTGTTTTGCGTATTCTGCGCCAGTAAACGGGAACTGCTTTGATTCAATTCGCTGGCATTGTGCGAATCCTCTGCGTTCTGCTGGCCTTCGTCACGCTTGCGCTTGAGGCGATCCAAAAACGATTCCTTGGCCAGCGACACTTTCAGCTTGGCACCATGCAGCCGCTGCCAGTTGAGCTCATTCACGCCTGTAATGGCATGGGACAGTTTAATTACGTTATTTTTAAATAAATTTATTTTGTTTCTTACAGTAATCAGCATCTTCCGTGTGAGCCGTCACGAAAGCTATAACTTTGGCTATTGTTTGACCCGAATCCACAAACTGTTCTTTCGTCTTAAGCTCCACACGCTCCACGTCGCCATAGTCCTGGAACAGTGCACGTAGGTCATGCTCTGTTGTTTTGGCCGGCAAGTCAGCAAGGAAGAAACGCGTGCTGCCCATATTTTTGTATATAAAACTAATTTTTAAAAAATATATATCTTTTACATGTATATAAGCGCACGTGTAGGCGATTCTACAATACCACCAACACAGCTGTTGGCAGCCAGTGTTGCAAGATACATGTCACAGTTTTATTTAGCACATATCGATAGTTGTTTGTGACGTCAGCAATTGCTTGTTTGTGTCTTTCCAGATAGAGATGGGAGTTTGTTGGTTTAGAAACACAACAGGAATATGAACTTTTGCTCGTTTTTTGTTTCGTTTTTTTTCTTTTTTTAATAATTAGGTATTTGGTTTTAATTTATTGTAAATGAGCACGATAACACAGATATTCGATAATATTAAAAACAAATTGATATAAGCTAAAAGTAGTTTTGGGAACCTTAAATGTCGTGCGTTTCTGAGCGTGAGTATTACGTGCGTGTATTTGCTTTGTATTAGATAAACAATTCGCGACCAACTCTGACTAACATAAACAACTTTGACATTTATTTTCAAGAAAATTATGCGTATTGTAGTAAACTTCGCAGGATAAATCAAATAACGCTTTATACCCAACTTGGCGCCAAATAGCATAAGCTGCTTCTACATTGGCAATCACAAATTGGCCATCGAGTTATCGTGATTTAATCGGGTAAGTTCGATATTTTTTGTCTCTAATACACTCACCCACACACATACGAACACACATACACACAGTCAGATTTTATTATTTATTTTTGTTTTCTGCTGTGCTAATATTTTGTAGCGCCAAAGATAATTCCTAAAAGAAATTGTATACATTAAAGGACAATGGATAACAACAGCAGCAGCAGCAGCAGACCAGGCAATACAAGTACTTTGGAGAAATGGGGCTTTCCATTGCAGGAGCTTTACCGTCTCGCGTTTACATTCTACAAACGTAAATTGAACCGCAAATATTGTCGTATGCATTTCTGTGGCTTCCTTTCAATTTAATGTTGCATGCCTTGCAGAGAATTCGGGCAAGGCTATACATCTGTCCTACGAAGACAACCTCAAGCTAATCGCCTTCAAGCAACAGGCCGCGGTCGGCCCGTTCAGCGCGAACCATGCGCCGGCTCTGGGCGTTCTGGACGTGATCGGGCGCGACAGGCAGCAGCACTGGCAGCTGCTGGGTGACATCACACGCGAGCAGGCGATGGAGGGCTTCATCGATCTGCTGGACACCATGTGCAGTGCCTTTCGGCCATACATTGAGGCCGTGCGTCAGAATCGCGATGAGAACCTAAAGGCCGAACTGCGTCGCATGGAACTGGAGAAGGAGGCGCGCCAGAAACGCGAACGCGAACAGCAGGAGCTGCTCGAGGAGGGCTACAAGGAGGAATTGCAACGCCGTCAGCTGCAGGATGCGCTCAACAAGCAGACATATCAGCAGTTCAAGGTAAATTCACAACTGCGACACGCAATCGATTTTCTAATACCACGTACACCATTCCGTGTGCCAAGTGGGCATAACAGCCACTGTGAAGGTGTATGTGACGGCAAGTGATAAGTGCCGCACTCTCTATAAAAACTTGCAGAGGGGGTCGCGAAATGCGGCATATGAAAATGGGATATACGAAATAGAATATATGCTAATTGACACATATAAAAGTAATATATCTGAGCAATTGGAACAGAATGGATATACTTTCCATATATCCCATTTCGCGACGCTTCATATAGCTTATGTACTAGCATTAATTATTATCAGGGGCAAATTGTTTTCGATGTTTTTTTACAATCTGTTTTTGTTTGTTTAACACGATTTTAATGTCTACAATATGTTTTTCTATCTCGTTCCTCTTCAAAAGTATTTGCACTTTTTTGTATTTTGTAAGCAATTTCGTATAATATTTGTTTAAATTGGAAGCTTTTCCTCTTTTAACCGGACGCAAAGTTTATTTAAGCCTGGGAATTTAGAAATATTTTGGAAATTTCATGAACCTAATTAGAAAAGTATTTAAGCATTCATTCCGATTATATTTTATTATTCAAATATTTGTGGAACAAAAAGGGAAAATGGAATTTGTATATATCTTGTTTTAGGAGAGCCCATTCAATTAAATGTTGTAATATTTAATACGGGTTGAAAGAGTTCAAGAACTGTTTACAAATCTGTTACGTGTCATATAAGTGCGAGTATTGCATGGCAGAGGGAATTTTATGGAAATTATGTCATAAAATGTGTAATGCATAGAAGAAGGCAACTTAGAAGTCATATAGGATACGTATATATATATATATATTCTTGAACAAAATCAACAAACGACTCGATGTAGTCTCAATTGTTCGTCTGTTTCTTCTCTCTAGATCTAGATACAAAACTAGGCATAGATCCGTTTGACATATATATACAAGTTTTTTGCCATAGATTGTTCTACAAATTAAGTTATAAAAAGGAAATCTAAACATCTAAAACAAGAGCTTTAATATGCTTTAAGATATGAGTACTGTATTATTAAGTTGCAATATCGAGTCAATATATACATATAGTATGGCAATTGGCTTTAAATATATATATCAATATATATAGACGATGCAGTTCCGATTGATAAGTCTCTTAAATATCAAAGCTCACAGCTTTGGGGAATTGTCAATTGCGAATCGAAAAACTAGTCCAAAAAAATGCTTTAGTGGCATATTTGAAAACTGATTTCCGTTCTGATGTTACAATTTAGTATAAAGAATAGGGAGATATAGTATAATATATATTGATAATATAATTTTATAAGCTATAATTAGACTTTAATAGAAAATTCGTAAGTTCCGGCTAACAGCTTGCGTTCTAGAAAGGGTATTCGGTAGTCGGCAACTGTGAAACTTGTCATCTGTTTGCCCAGACAGTTGCACCTGTTGTTGGCCAAACCGAATCGCACGTCGTTGTTGTCGTCGCCAGCAGTCAGTCAATAATAAATGTTAATTGTCTGCGTTGGCGGCGAATGAGGTCACACGGCCGAATTGGGTCAAGAACGAGCTGTTTGAAATGCAAGGATACATGTGTTTATAATTGACTGCGTTGATTGATTGTTTGCAGCTGTACGCGGAAAAGCAGTTCCCTGGCAATCCGGAGCAGCAGGCGGTGCTCATACATCAGCTGCAGCGGGAGCACTACCATCAGTATATGCAGCAGTTGCATTTGCAGAGTCAGGGCCAGACGCAGCACGCAGCGAATCCCAATCGGAATCTGGAACAGCAGACGCCAGACAAGGACAACGATCTGTTGCTGCTAGCGGAGACGGAGCAGGAACCGAAGCAGATGAACAACAACAATAGCAACAGCTGCAGCAATAGTCCTGGCAGTGCCAATCTGGCCCGTGCCATGGATGGACTGCAGCTTAACGAATTCGAGAGCCAGTCACAGCAGCAGCAGCAGCAGCAGCAGCAGCAGTCGCCAGGCGAGCAGCCAGCGCAGTCGGAGCAGTTGGCTGGCGATGAGTACGATGATTATGTGATGATACGTCCGGCCAAGATTTGGACGCGTCCCGATATCGAACAGTTCAAGACTGAAGTATCCGCCGGCGATGGCGATGGTGTTATAACCATTGGACACGGCGATACGGTAACGGTGCGTATTACAACTAAAACTAATCGACTGATTGATTGATTGATTGATTGATTGACTGACTAACTGACTGATTGACAGACAATACACAGCGCTAGGAGGAGTTGCTTTTTAAGACAAGACTAGGAAAATTTGTGCAAAAAGCTTGCATGGAGCTCTATGTACATTTTTCATTTCAAAATCTTTAAATGCGAAATTTGAATATATTGAATACGTAACTAATTGATCTGTTTTTTTTTCCATCTGTTTTTGACAGGTGCGTGTGCCCACAAATATGAACGGGAAGTGCATCTTCTGGGAGTTTGCGACGGACAATTACGACATCGGTTTCGGCATTTACTTTGAGTGGGCAAAGCCCGTGACCAACGAGGTGACGGTGCATGTAAGCGACAGCGATGAGGATGAGGATTGCGTCGATGAGGATTATCTATCGACGACAGAGGATTTGGAGTCCGGTTCCCTGTCGCAGGATCGGCATGCATTGGCCGTACAAAATGCGGCCGCCGCCGCCGCCACAAAGCCGCCCATATCCATAATTGTGCCAATCTATCGGCGCGAATGCTACAACGAGGTCTATGTGGGCTCCCATTCGTATCCCGGCGAGGGTGTCTACCTCCTGAAATTTGACAATAGCTACAGCATTTGGCGTTCCAAAACGCTTTATTATCGCGTCTATTACGAGCGATAAGGCCAAAAATGTCCAGTAATTACGAACTGGATTACTTACTAGAGTGCATATACATGCATAGTCCAAGAAACTAGACATTTATTCTTAGAATTTCAGAAAGGGGTGTGTACGTGTACGTGTTGTGTATGTGTGTGTGTGTGTTGTGGTGTGGTGTGGCTCGTATTGGAGTGTGTATGCAGAACGTGCATATACAACAATTTAGGAAACTTCACTTTTCCATTTGCAAAATGATTAAATCAATATTATTTATTATATAGTTTTCAAAATAAAACATAAATAAAATACATGTGTATTTGAAACGTTTGTCTTCATTTGCATAATTTCAAATGGCGCTCGTTTCATTGGCGAAAGTCCAATTCATAGCATATGGATTTTTATAACTTATATTAACTTAATAATAAAAAAGTATTTTAATCAATAGAAATAACATTAATTACATTTATTAATTTTAAGTGCAGTGTTGCCAGATCGAGACAGTGCTAGCCGTTAGTAGCTGGCTGGTGACACTGCTTAAAAAGCCAGCGCTGCCAGATGCTACAAATGTGGGCTTGCAGTGACAGTGCACACGGGCTAGCAACTCTGCCTGAAATGCCAGCGCTGCCGGACTGTAATAATGTTTACTGTGCGTTGTTGTTGTTTTATTCAAAAAGCCGGCATATTCGTGTGTTATGTATGCAGCTGCAGTTCAACAGCTGCTCAAATGTTCGGGCGCATCCAGCCGACTCGGCAAACGCCTGCTCAGCTATGTGCTGGGCATCGAAACATCCTGCGATGACACAGGCATTGCCATTGTCGATACAACTGGTCGGGTGCACGCCAATGTGCTCGAGTCCCAGCAGCAGTTCCACACACGGTAACAGAACCCTGGACTCTATTCTTAACTCTCCCCATATACACATATATTCGTCTACAATTTCTAGTTACGGCGGCATCATACCGCCACGTGCTCAGGATCTGCATCGGGCGCGCATTGAAAACGCCTACGAGCGTTGCCTGGAGCAGGCGCAACTGCAGCCGGAGCAATTGGAGGCGATTGCAGTGACGACACGGCCGGGACTGCCGTTGAGCTTAATTGTGGGCCTGCGTTTTGCACGCCATCTGGCACGCCGGGAACAGAAACCATTGCTGCCCGTGCATCACATGGAGGCACACGCGCTGCAGGTGCGCATGGAGCAGCAATCGGAGATTAGCTTTCCATATCTGTGCCTGCTCATCAGCGGCGGCCACTGTCAACTGGCCGTGGTACATGGTCCCGGCCGTCTGACGCTGCTCGGCGAAACGCTGGACGATGCGCCCGGCGAGGCATTCGATAAAATAGCGCGACGCCTGCGTCTCTATGTGCTGCCCCAGTATCGGCTGTGGAACGGCGGCCATGCCGTCGAGCATGCTGCACTAGCGGCACGCGATCCGGCTGCATACGAGTTCCCGCTGCCATTGTCGAGGCAGCGCGACTGCAACTTTAGCTTTGCGGGCATCAAGAACAACTCGTTTCGTGCCATACGCAAACAGGAGCTGGCCGAGCGCACGCCGCCCGATGGCATCATCAGCAACTATGAAGACTTCTGTGCGGGTCTGTTGCGTGCGGTCAGTCGCCATTTAATGCATCGCACACAGCGCGCCCTGGAGTACTGTCTGCAGCAAGGGCTATTTGGCGACGCGCCGCCCACCCTGGTCATCTCGGGCGGCGTGGCCAACAACGATGTGATCTTTGACAATCTGGCTCATTTGGCCACGCAATATAATTGCCGCTGCTACAGACCCTCGAAGCGCTACTGTTCCGACAATGGCGTCATGATAGCCTGGCATGGCATCGAGCAACTGCTGCAGGATGGGCAGAATAGCCTGCGCCGGGACATCGATCACATTGATATTGCAGGCAGCGCTGGCTTCCAGCACTCGGCGGTCAGCGATGTGGCGCTGGCGGGCATCAAATGCAAGTGGATCAAACCGCTTTAAGCCAAGAGACGTGACATGCCTGAAATTTACGACGGAACAAAACACCAAACTAAACAAATTTTAATAAATATTTGAATATATAAATGTTAAGTGAAACTATATTCGAACTGTCCAAAACTACATCAAGTCTGCAAAACAGCTCTGATCCTAACCGCAACTAAATCTGTAATCAGAGAGAGGGCCAATTTGTTATATATATTTTAAGATATTCCAAAAAGCGCTATGAAAATCGAAAATTTGTTCATTTCGTTAAATGTAAATATGTAATTTAACAAAAAATGTTCTATTTAAAATTGAAATGAATCCAACCCGGATCTATTATGGATGTGAAAAACCAAGTTCATTATCTGATCCCCAAGCCGAAGCATTGGAACTGAACCACGATAAATTCTATTAATATTTCAGACCTGGTTTAAATACCATTATATTTGTATAACAACAATTTTACGACCGATTTTCCATTAGAAGCTATGGCAGCCGCAGCAATATGGACGGATCATAGTCGGGATTCAGCTTTAAAACTAAGCGACTTGGTTGTAGATGATACTGATCAAGAATATATATATGTACATAGTTTAGGGAGGGTCGGAGATATTTACTCTATGCTAGTTATAATACGATCGTGTCGTGTCTGGCTAAAAAATTCCGGCAGGTGCCCAACTGTTTAAGCCCAAAGTTGATTTCGTTTGGTTGTTTTTTTTTTTTTACATTATATATTTGTTTTTTTTTTTTTCTTTTTTATTATATTATCTGAAATCAATAATGTCAAATGTCTAAGGTCTAAAAAAAAAATGTAAAAATTGATAATGTATACATATAAAAATATTAAAAAATGCATTAGTTCTTCATCATCTGCTGCTACTCTTTGTTTTTTATGCTGAACTACAATACAGTTTTCACTTGTTTTTAATCTTTTGCTTGTCGTTTCTTGTTTGGATTATACTTATAAGGTTTAGGTTTTTGTTTTTTTTTTTGTTTTCTAAATTTTCGCAATTGTTTTCTTCTTTTTTTTTTGCAACCTTTACTTATATATTTCAATACTCTTATTTTTATTACATAATTTGCGTCATATACATTACGCATATTTCTTTTATTATAATTTTAATTTTTAGTTTTAGTTTCTTTCCTTTTTTTTTTCTTTTTAGTTAATTTTGTATACCGTTATTATTGCGTGTGTAAACAAATGGTAGACATATGCATGTATTTTATATATTTATTTTGCTCAATATATGCATTATTTGTGTTTTTATATATTATTACTTTTATTTATTTATCATATTTGTTGCCTGCTCGCTTTGTTTTCTATTGCTGCGAGCAGTTCCTTTTTCACACTGTTTTTTTTTTCTCCTATTTTTAGGTTGTTTTCTTTTTTTTATATATATGTATATATATATTTATATATATGTATATACACACATATATATATTTATGCAAAACACAAAATTGCAGTTTTCAGTTTTGTTCTGGTTTGTTTTGTTTTTTTTTCTTCTATTCCTTCTCTTAATTTTGTATATATGAATATATAAATAATTTGTTTTGCTATATTGTTATTGTTGTTTTTGTTTTGTTTTTTTTTGCTTAATTTTTTCCATTTATTTTCTTATAAGAAATCGCGCCAAAAGAATTAAGATGGAAGGGTTTGAAGGGTCTCGGTGCAGCGGCGCGCAAGCGGAATTTTGATTTGCGAAAATGTAGAGAATACATTTAAATTAAAATCAAATTAAATACAATTATTGCCAAATTGCAAATTTAAGGATTGGCAAAAGAATTTTGCCTGTGCTTTTGCTTTGGGGCTGAGCGCACTGGGTAGCGGCCGAAGGAGACGGGGCTCGGAGGGGGCGGGTGGGGGAGGGAGGTGTGGGGTAACAGGGGACAGTAAAACTGTTTAAAAGCGTGTATAAATTGAAGAGGACAATTTAAAAAGAATAAGACAGAAAATTTACATACATGTATCGTATATATAGTTATATATAGTATTTGGGGGGTGTATTATTTTGTTGTTGTTGTTGAGAGCGAAGCAGAAAAAAAAAAACAACCGAAAAACAACAAAGAAACAAAAATAATTAGAGGAATTTGCATTTCCTCTTCTTGGATGGCTCTGGCGGCTCCAGGGCGGCCAATATGGCCTCGTCGAATACATTTTTCAGGCCCTTCTGTGTGAGGGCCGAGCACTCGACATATTTGACCGCCTTCAGCTCCTTGGCCAGTTTTTCGCCCTGCTCGGATGTGATTGGCTTTTGCTTATTCTTGGCCAGTTTCTCCAATGTGCTTGTCTCGTCGCGCAAATCAATTTGTGTGCCCACCAGCAGGAACGGCGTCTTTTGACAATGGTGCGTTATCTCCGGCACCCACTGTAAGTGTGGAATATAATTAACAATATTAAAATTCAAGGCATATTCTCGCACTCTCTTTCCTAGCTGTCTTACCTTCTCCTTGACATTCTCAAATGAACTGGGACTGACCACCGAGAAGCAGACGAGAAACACATCCGTTTGCGGATATGACAGCGGACGCAGTCGATCGTAATCCTCCTGACCGGCTGTATCGAATAATCCCAGCGTATACGGCTCACCGCCGATCATCACTGTCACCGCATAATTGTCAAATACAGTTGGCACATATTCTGATGGAAATTTGTTGGTTGTGTACGATATCAGCAGGCACGTCTTGCCCACAGCGCCATCTCCAACGACCACGCACTTAATGGTTTGCATACCGTACGAGTTATGTGAATAACGATTTCTGAAAACGATGAATACATTCTGAATTATAGTGAGGCATGTGATAGGATAAAGATTCCACACTGATGGCAACAATTTGGTAGACAAAGCTTAAAGTGTAATACTGCACGGCATCCAGCTTAGGCAAGAAATCCTGTACCTACAGTTGGAGACCGTGGCCGGGTTGAGGCCCAGATACTTGTTCTCTGAATCCATCTACAGGAATGGAGACTGCTGGCTCCACACCTTTCCTTGGGGTGTAGCTGACATTCCTGCACTTAGCCGGATTCAATTGAATGTTTCACTCACCTCTCAGGTAAGTGGAGGTCACTCAACTTTATTAGGTATAGATTTCCTATAGCTGACACGGGTTAAAGCTGATAGAATAATGTTCTACTGTGATCCAAATTATATATAAGCCAAATGCAGCTTAACCAAACTCTCAAATCGTATCGGACAAGCACAAACCATCATCATAAGAAACAAGGTCTAAATTGAGTTCATTTATAGAAATGGACACGATCTTTTATATAATTGTTGGTCAACTTTGCAGGCTTCACTGTAGCCAAACGGACATGTGTGTGTCTGTGTGGACTCATATGCCTTAATTACTTTCGCAAAGAGGCAGCACCGAAGCGCGGGGCGTGGGCGTGAGCGAGGCCGACTGGGAAGGCCCTTGCCCGGCCAAGTGTTAAGTTCGCCATAGGGTGGGTGGGTGGTTGGTTGTTGGCTAACAAGGGAGTGCGGGAGGGCTGTATTTAGGAGAACGCTTTGTTATTATCGCATCAAACACATACACACACACACACACACACACACACACACACACACACACACACACACACACACACACACACATGTATATATACACACATATGTATTTATACACACACAATAACAATTACATATGCACATATCAGTCCGAGACGCAAATTGCTATTTACTTGTATTTTTTTTTTATTGTATTTTTTATATTTTTGCTCAACTATTGTCTTATCTACGCGTGCGAGTTGTATCTGTAGAACTTTGTACACAGAGACCACACACATACACACACACACGCACTCACACAACTACTGCCGGGCGGTATCGACGTCGTCGCCGCCGGCTTCCTTTTTAGTGGAGCATAAAGCAGAGAGCCACAGGCGAAGGCGATGACTCAAGCTGTGCATGTGTGCGTGCCGAATGAAAGAAAAAACAACACCAAGCGCACACACACACACACACAGTGCCTAGATAAGCTCGCAGGCAGTTCTAATATGAAATATGCAGCTCCCTGCCTCACCCGCGCATACAAGCACAACCATTTTCAGCGTACGTGTGTCATGTATTTATATGCACGTGTGTGGGTTTTAAACGCAGTTTTGCTGCAGCTAATATGCTAATTTATTTTGACACAAATGCACTTGTGTATAAATATACACACACAGACACACATGCACGCGCATATGTGCATATTGTTTTGCATCGCCCACACACACGCACACGCACATACGAGTTTGTAACTATTAGAAAGCCAAGCAAAACGAAATGCACAAATTATAGGCACATTTCGAAAATTTGCCAGCAGCCAGAATAAAATTGAACCAATCGTTTTCACCAACACTAAGGTGCATTACGTACACACATACTGACATGAGAGCATGCAGACACAGGCAGCCAAAGCAGTCATCGTTAACATTTTTGGTCACTTTTCACTACAGAATTTTCTCTTTCTTAGCGCAGATGTATTGGTTTTTGCTAGGTATTTATTGTATGCCGAGCCGTTGGCTTGCGCCATTTTACTTACAACTGATTTGGATTGAAAACGGCAACAAATATGTGTAATTTGTTTTCTTTTTACTATATTTTTGGGCTGGGTTGGGCGTCGATTCGTACAGAAAACTACTATTTTTCTTTTGTGTGTTCGTTCTCTTCAGCAATAGTAATCTGTATGCGTGCGAATGACGAAGCATAGGGTTGCCACTGCGACAATCGCTATCGCAATTTTGACGTTTACAAATGGCAACGCCCTGCATACTGTTTATAATGTTGCCACTCCGTTCGCATGCAACTCTCATCTGTCACCTAGAACAAGCACAAGAGAACAGCAGCGACAACAAAGTAGGCGACCAAAATTCACTTGCCAGGCATAAGAAAAAAGGAACCGAAGGGTATGACATCGAAATGGCTGGATTTTTAAGAACCAGGTATGTGATTTACTAGCCAATTCTTAGCAAATTAAACCTATAGACCAATTCAATTGCGACTCGATGCAGTCATGCGCATGCATAAATTGAGAAACACATATGAACAGCATTACAGTGACCTGCAGTTTATTTATTTCATGGCCAAATTGCAATTCCAATTGAAAATTATATCAGACACGTACCCAACGAAAATGTACGTACATAAATATATATAACCGATATAATTACAGAAAACGTAGCCGCGAAGATGATCTGCCGTGCGAATCGACGCCATTGTCCAAGCGTATCAATAATCTGCATTTAAACTACGATGATGGAAACAGCAGCAGCAGCAGCAACTGCAGTATTCCGAATCTAATCAATGACAACAACAATTATCTATTATTACCAACGATTACTGGTGGCGGTTGTGGCAGTGGTCCTGCCGAAGTGGTTGGCGGGGTATACGAGTACAATCCTGAATTGAATGCAGATCAAAATCCGTATTACTATGAAAAGAACAAAATGTTGTATGACTTGCACGTTGAACGTGTCAAGCGCAGCAATCACTAGGTTTTTAAAGACACACTTAATTTTGTACATGTACAGAAGTGTATGTGGATAAAATACGCTTTGCTCTAGAGTGATATAAAAAGAAAACAAATCAAGAAACAAACATTTAACAAAAAACTCAAGAATAACTGTAGTACACACAAAATGAAAAAGAATTAATCAAAACCGAAACATAACTCGCTTGCCTTATCCATTCGTTAACTAAATAAGCAATTGCAACGGTAGCTGATAGTGCCAATAGTTCAAGGAAAACCTCAGATGGATTAGTAAGCCAATCTTCTATCGTTAATAAGTTTATCTCGTTCATAACAGTTTATACTAAACTAGGAAAACAATGTTTGTTTGTAAACTTCCAAACTTCTGCGAATTGAGTCAACTTAAATGTGTTCGAAATATGTATGTAAAATTATAGACATTAATTAACGATACAGCTGTAAAAATAGACCACTAAAAACCATAAAATGTAGCTAGTGATTTTCAAATAATTACGTACATATAAACCATATAAGACTTTTCGAATTTGCTCCTGCACATGTGTAAATCTGTTAACTATGTTTAATAGACGATGCAATTCTTCTGAAATAATAGAATTATGTGCCCGAGTGCTTAACTTCAATATAATATATATACAAATATTTAACTAAGGTTACGTTAAGTAAGCCATGTATGAAGCAGCAATACTGTTAATAAAGTATTATAGGAATTTTCTCAATATTTCAGCGTCACTTTTGTTTGTTTGTTGAATTTGGAAAAGTATTCATGTTTGCAAACCACTGTGCGGTTCGCATATCTAACATTGTTGTTGTCTCCATTTATACAATGCAATCAACGTACGCTCTCCTGCCAGCCAAGCGCGCTCTCTCTCGTTGTCTCTCTCATTCACACTGGCACACGTTCACGTCCGACACACACAAACACACATGCATCCAGGCACACTCATTCTTTGTTGTTGCTATTTATACGCTCGCAATTTATTTTTGACAACGTAAAATGTTGTAATATATTGTTAAATATTAGTTATAAAATTTAAATTTAAATTAAGTGCCTTTCAAAGTGCCAGTGCAGTATTTACAAAAATTATACATAAATGCAATATGCCCGAATGCGAACGCGAACGGAGTGGAAAATGTTTGACAAGTGCAACAAGTAAACACAAGAGCCTCACATAATAGCCAAATATTTAATATATACATATTTGCCATATGTATATGCACATAGTTATAGCCGAACAATACATCACAATCGATATTGATAGACATCGGAATCGCATCCGCAATCGCCGTAGATGATGAGCCCCTTCGGTTCGAAGAAGAACCGTTCGTTGCCGGTGCGCGTGAGCACTTTCGATTCGGAGTTGGAGTTCGAATTGGAGACCCGCTCCACGGGCCAGGAGCTGTTCGATTTGGTGTGCCGGACAATTGGACTGCGCGAATCGTGGTATTTTGGTTTACAGTATGTGGACACACGCAACAATGTCTCTTGGCTCAAAATGGACAAAAAGGTCAAAGATCAGCGGGTCGAGCTGCATGCAAACAATAGCATTTATGTGTTCAGTTTCTATGCGAAATTCTTTCCGGAGAACGTCAGCGAGGAGCTGATACAGGAAATAACCCAGCATTTGTTCTTCTTGCAAGTGAAACAGAGCATTCTCTCCATGGACATCTACTGCCGACCAGAGGCGTCGGTTCTGCTCGCCTCGTATGCGGTCCACGTCCAATACGGACCCTACGATTATGAAACCTACAAGGACGGCATGCTGGCCGGCGGGGAATTGCTGCCCAAGGGCGTTACCGATCAATATCAAATGACGCCCGAGATGTGGGAGGAGCGCATCAAGACCTGGTGAGTGTGCCCAAAGCAAATGCCTAGCTGCATCTTTTATATTTGTTGGTCAATTTCTAGGTACATGGATCATGAACCCATGACACGTGATGAGGTTGAAATGGAGTATCTCAAAATAGCACAAGATCTGGACATGTACGGTGTCAACTACTTTCCTATTACGGTGAGTCTATCCAAGCTCCCTTTACTTAAATACCTAACGAGACTTATTCGATCCACAGAATAAGAACAAAACCAAATTGTGGCTGGGCGTTACAGCCGTGGGTCTTAACATCTATGACGAGCGCGACAAGCTAACCCCAAAGACAACGTTCCAATGGAACGAGATACGACACGTTAGTTTCGATGACAAGAAATTCACGATACGTTTAGTGGACGCCAAAGTGTCGAACTTTATATTTTACTCGCAGGATTTGCACATCAATAAAATGGTAAGTGCCAGTTTAGTGAATCCATTTAGATATATGTATATTTAATATAACTTTCAACTTGAATCTATGCGCAGATACTTGATCTGTGCAAGGGCAATCATGATCTCTACATGAGACGCCGCAAACCGGACACCATGGAGATACAGCAAATGAAGGCGCAGGCCAAAGAGGAGAAACAGCGCCGCCAAATCGAGCGCAAGAAGTTCATCAGAGAGAAGCAGCTGCGCGAGAAGGCCGAACATGAGCGTTACGAGTTGGAGAAGCGTCTGGAGCATCTGCAGGACGAGATGCGCATGGCTAGCGATGCGTTGGTGGGTCAGGCGACGATATATCCCAAACGAAATCTAAATACCCCATTAATGTCCATTTAACTTGCAGCGCCGCTCCGAGGAGACCAAGGAGCTGTACTTTGAAAAGAGTCGCGTCAACGAGGAGCAAATGCAGCTAACCGAATGCAAGGCGAATCACTTCAAGACGGAAATGGATCGTCTGCGCGAGCGTCAAATGAAAGTGGAGCGCGAGAAGCACGATCTGGAGAAGAAGATACGCGATGCCGATTTCTATATGCTCCAGCTGACCGTCGAGAATGATAAGCGCGAGGCCGAAACGGAGAAGCTCAAGAAGGAGCTGATCTGTGCCAAAATGGCGGAACGCGAGGCCACCGCCCGTTTGCTTAACTTTCTCAACAGTGGCCGTAAATCCTCCACGGACAGCCTGCTAACCGCATCGACTGTTTCCCATGCGAATGTCAACAATGCCTCCAGCATAGCGGCGATTAGCACACCTTCGCTGACGACGAGCAGCTCCACAAATGATATGGAAACAGCTGGCGGCGCCGAGCTAACCACATCCGCATCCCATTACATTGTGATGGGCGATAATTCAAGCGGCATTTCAGATGATTTTGAGCCCAAGGAATTCATACTCACCGACAACGAAATGGAGCAGATCACAAACGAGATGGAGCGCAGCCATCTAGAGTATCTGCGCAAGTCCAAGAAGCAGGTGCAGAACCAACTGCAAACGTTGCGCAGCGAGATAGCCCCACACAAGATCGAACAGAACCAGAGCAACCTGGACATACTCAGCGAGGCGCAGATCAAGGCCGGCGAGAATAAATATTCAACGCTGAAAAAGCTCAAGTCCGGTTCGACCAAGGCGCGTGTCGCCTTCTTCGAGGAACTCTAGTGGCAGCAGTGGATGCAAAATAGCCAACAAAAAACCCCAAAACAAGACTTAGCCCAAAATATTGCGCATTGTTGTAGTTTTCGTCATATTTAAAGCAGTTCAATGTATGCGTGTACGTTTTTGTTTCAGTGTATCTGTGCATGCTGTGACGATTTAATTCACTGTATGTATACTTTTATACCCTGTAAATTTGATTCACCACATGTCTGTCTGTGTTTGCCTTAGTGTGTGTGTGTACACCATATCAATTAAACTAGCTGTATCTAGTTGTCTCATTGTATCTATGTAAAAGATGTAAATTCAGTTAACTGTATTTATCTCAGTGTATCTATGTATACATGTCAATTCAATTCACTGTATGTATTTGTCTCAGTGTATCTACATATGTATACCATGTAAATTCAAATTATTATATTTGTCGCAGTGCATCTGCGTATAGCATGCCAATTCGATTGAATGCATGTAGCTATGTATTTCTCTCTGTGTATACCATGTCAATAGCTATAAGCCCATAACGCTGGCATCACACTAAGTTCTGTTGCCGAATTCAATAAAATCGTTTTAAATCAGGGCATTAAAATAACAATAATAAGTGTGTTCTAGTCAAAAGTGCTCGACTAGCAGATGCCCTGTACCCAAGCTCTGGCACAAGTCTATAAAGGTATATACAGACGGATTTCTTGATATCAAAATATAAATATAATAGTTCATATAATCCGTGAGGTCGACACGTTCATTCGTACGGACAGATTAAGATGGCCTTATCGACTCGGCTGTTGATGCTGATCAAGAATTGATGTACAGAGTACAGGGTATAGATAGACAGGCATTTGGAACGAGAACTTACAAACCGTCCTTCTTAGCATTCAACTCGGAGATCCTGTGCTTAACGCGAATTTTGACTCGCCGGCAAAGATCACACAACTCCCTCGTAAACGAAGACATTGAAAATTTATAAGCACTTGCCGAATATTTTGGGGCGAATTTATAAAAGTTTTAAAAAATACGTTTTTAAAAATGTTCAAGTTGACGAAAGACCGGAGACTAAAACAATTGTGAGCATTCCGAATACACAAAGCATACTAGGGCTCCTAGGATATTTTTTTGTAATTCCATTTCATAAGTTTGTCACGAAATGTGGAATCTATAGAAGGAGACAGATAGAATGTGGACTTATATTAATTTGTTTTTCTATTTCGCGCCACTGAAACAAACGGAAGTTTTCTTCTCCTCTTGTCTGCGAGGGTATTCAGTCTTCGGCGCACCAATCCATTTTAAAACTATTTCCATCCTACTCTAATCTATTCTATTCTATGCCTGTCCCTTTCGCTTTGCTGTGCTTTTCATTAAGATTTTGGCATGTGTCGGGTCGAGGGAACGCGCAGATTCAGATTCATTCACGATGCTCCAAAAAAAAAACCGCAAGTTACTGTAAAGTACAATAACGTTTTTTCTACCCGGGTGGCAACGCCTTTTAGACTGTTATTCAATTCTGTGAAGAGTTCGCCTTTCTGGTTACCTAAGAGGGACCATATAATTGACAATTTCGAGGTCCGTAGAATCAACCGGGCTTAGTCCTTAATTTCCATTCTAGTAAATAGATGTCCTCTGAGTCGAGGCTCCTTACAGTTAATTAGCTTTATTTTAATGGCAACAGAACGCATGTTCCAATTAAAAGCTCTGTCATAGCCGAGAGCTACAAATCGGGCATGAAGCCCTCCGGTTCAAAGCTGATATTCAATTTTTACTATGAACGGAGGCTTCAACCATGTCGGTGGCCCAAGAACAGCTCAACCTACAGCTAGACCAAACCATGTCTAGTCTTTCATACAAGAACTTGATTCTCTATCAATCGTTCCTATGGGAGCTATATGATATTGTAGTATGATCTAGATCCGATTTTGCATATATGTAAGGAGCACAGTGCGACTTATAAATGCCGTGGTGTTTGGATGAGATATCTTGAAAAGTTTTTCATTTAAGAACCTGCTTTTCGACCAATCAATAGCTTCAAAACTGAGACTAGTTCACATAGAAATAGACAGACGGACTCAGCTGTTGCTGCTGATCTAGATTATATATATACTATATGAGGTCTCCCCTTCTATGCGTTACACATTTCATGACAAAAATGTAATACCCTCCACAAGGGTATGAATAGTATAGCACGAAATAGATGAGACGAACCAAAGTTCAAAGCAAAACTCTGAGATTCATGAATGTAGAAGAACAGGTTCACGAACCGAACCCAACTGCGAGGCACTGGTTCGCAGCCTGAACCGAACCACCAGCATTTGTTTTTGGCCTACTAATATAGCTATTATTATTGGTATTTTTTGTTTGTCTGAGAAAACGGGAAAACGTGACCATTTACATTTATTTTATTTACTCTTTAGCGTTTCATACAGAAATCCGTAAACGTAGTTTTTCTAACGAATAAGTTTTTGTTTTTTATATTTTAATTATTATTTGTTTGTATCTTATCTGCGGCGTTCTTGCCAAGTTTCCATATATGTATATATAATATATGTAGAATTTTGTTTTTATGGTAATTGGAACGCGCACCTTTAAGCTCCCCACACAAAACAAATATATATATAGCTTCCCCCCCCCCCCGCCCAGCCCCCTCTACCCACATTATTACATAAAAGAAACTGTTTTCTTGTTTTTTTTTTTCGTATTTTTTTTTTGTTGTTTTCTTGTTTTGTTTTTTTTGGTACTAAGGAATTTCAAATAGTTACGTCTTTTTGTATTTTTTGTTTTCTTTTGTAACACCGTGGAATATTTGATATATGTATAATACATATATATACACATATATGCACATATGTGTTTGTTTTTTACCATAAAATAAAAAGCTCAATTTTTGTAATATAGCATCCAATGCATTCCAAAACTGCCCGCAAGTAACGCCAGACGCAAACAATATATGTATATATATACACATATATATATGCATATATAGATATAGATGTATATATATGTACCGGTTTTATAGACATATATATATAGATAGATAAATATATAGGCACGCACATTCGCATGCATACATATTATTTGTTATTTTACATATTTCTTGCCTTGTCAGCAAATATACATTAACAAATACAAAACGTTTGCTTTAAACGTAAACAAAGTTTAGTTATAGTTATTAAAAAAAATATATATACATATACATATATATGAAGCCGCATGCATATATATAGATATACAGTTATAGCTAAGCATATTTTTGCATATTCTTCAACAGGCTGCACAACAAAAATGAATTAGAAAACGTGCGACGAGTTGTTCCTGCGCTTCCTTCTGCTCCTGTGTATGTATGGGTGTGTGGGTGTGTCTGTGTCTGTCTGTGTGTGCCCCAATATATATATATATATATATATATACTATATACTATATATATGCATTAAAGTTGTACCGCCTTTTGTTTGTTTTTTCTTTTTGTTGAGTTAAGTTTTACATTTTGCACATCAATTGTTATCTACAACAAAAATTGTTATATTATCAATATCGATTGTTGAATACTCTGCCCCAGACTTTGGCATGTGTTTTTCTTCTTTCTTTCTTTTTTTTTTTGTAAATATTATTTATGTATATATATATTTTTTTTTTGGTTTTTTGTTTTTTTTTTTCTGTGTGGAAATTTAGAAGCAAATGTGTGTGTGTGTGTGTGTGTGTGAGTGAGTGTAATTTATAGGCTTCCAGGCGGATTTTCTTCATCTGCTTGTTGCTCGATTGCCCGCTTACGCTAGGTGTGTATGAGTGTGTATATGTGTGTGTGGCGTGTGTATTGTGTGTGTGTGTGTGTGTGCGTGTGTGTGTGTGTCAAGGTTTATCAGCAAACAGCAGCGTTGACTTTTCGACTGAGCCAGGCGCCCCGATTGGGGTTTGCTTTTTGTGGGCGGGGCGCATGTGCATCAGGTTTAACAATTGCGATACAGCAGTTAATATTTTGTATACGCATATATATATGTACACATAGTATGCATGTATATATAAACGTATATATATGTATATATATATATAGACGATATTTGCGTTTGGCGTGTACGTAAGGCGTGCGCCTTAACAGTGTTAACTCAGGGACAACTGATTCAGCGACAACAGGCGTTCCACGGCCGCATTAATATCCCCGAACGTGGCAATTAGCGCTAAAGGATTAGAAAAATAAAACTCGCATAAGTATATAGATACATAAACATGTTAATTTAAATGTCAATCACTTTAAATACCCCTGCAGACATATTGCACATACAGAATACATTTCTAATTAGAATCCATAAGTCTTCGCCAAATCCTTTCTATGGAAGTAATCAGAAAACCTCTGGCACTCTAGCAATGGACTCTGACTAGACTATATGACTATATATTTTACCAGACAAAATCAGCTTAAAAAAGAAAGAGTACCCCTATCTGAATGCTCTGTTTGAGGGAAGACGAAAGAACTATACACATTCTATATAAATGTTTAGCTAGTAGTTGGTCAAGGGGGAAGCATCTGGGAAAATAGAGCAAAAGTAAGAAATGTGCCCCTCTCCTGACGCTGAGACTAGGCTCTGCTTGAGGAAGACGAAGGATTTATCCACATTCTATATAAATGTCCAGTAGTTGGGCAAGAGGGAAGCATCTGGGCAAATAGAGCAAGTCTATTTCCGACAGATTTTCCATATAAGAGTTATATGAAATAGTTAGCTGACAATAAAAGAGTTTAGTTTGGTCGGGATATCATTCGAAATATCCAATGTCTGGTCACAAGGCCACCGAGCGACAGGAAACAGTTGGACAGACGAATGACTAAGGCTATATGGACTCGATCGGGCATATATATGTATGCGCCATGCACTGCAAGGGCGTCATAAAGAGCTAAAGATATATTTGTGTTCGTACCCTGCAAATTGGCGTCGCGATTAACAAAACCCATAGCGGCCAGCTGCTCCAGCTGCGATTGGTAGCGCACTTCCGGCGGCTGCGTGGTGTCCGCATTGTTGGACATGCCGTTGAGCATGCGCATCATGAAATCGTTGAAGAGCTGCGCATTTGGTCCGCCGCCAGGCGCCAGTGTTGGCGTCGCTGCGTTCGTGGCATTGGAATTCGGTGCAGCGATGTTGTTGGGCGTGCTATTGTTGGTGGTGGCAGCAGTAGCGGCGGTGCCATCGCCGCTGGCCGGATCGGCAACATTGTTGACGCCCGGTGGTGGTGGGGGTATGCCCAGTGTGCCGACCAGATTGGGTGCAGCGGTGCGCAGCTGTTCCATGCCCTGTTGGATCTGTAGTATGGCATTGATCGCCTCCGGATTGGTCAGCATATTCATGACATCCGGATTCTGCATTTGGGCCATAAACTGTGGCATCATTTGGCGCACCTGATCCTGCAGCTGTGGATTGTTCGATAGCAGCGGGCTGCTGCTTAGCAGGCGTGACGCCATATCCGGATCCTGGGACATGGACTCCATCATGGAACGCGTATACGGCGCATTTAGCAGATTTTGCATCAGTGCTGGATTATCAGCCATCTGCTGGAGCAGACTGCGCATGGCCGGTGTGTTGAGTACATTATTAGGCGGCTGATCGCCTGCGCGATTATTTGGGCCAGTATTGTTGCTTTGGGTATTGGTGCCGGAACGATTACCGGAGCCACCCCACGGATTTGGCAACGGATTGCGATTCTCGGTGCCCTGCTGTGGATTAACGCCAGCTGTTGCGCCGCCTCCCTCGACGAGGCCAGCAAACGGATTGCGCCCAAACGATTCGGTGGCCGCATTCATCATTGGCTCCTGTATATCACGGTAGATACGCTGCAGGGCACTGTAGCCGCCCGGAACCGATTCCAGATTGGACATAGCTCGATCATGCGAACGCATCAGCTCCTGTAGCATGGATGGATTGCGTGCCAGCTCCATGGTTTGACGCAACAAATCCGGATTGTTAAGCATATGTGATATCTCCGGATTGCGTTGCATCAGATCCTGCATTTGCGGATTTGATGTAATCAACTGACGCATTGTCTCAGGATTGTTCATCATTTGCTGCACCAGGGGATTATCCATCAGCGAACGCAACATATCTCCATTATTTAGGAGCTCATTCTGCATGCGGGCCTGCAGATCCATAAACGTATTCGAACCGGCGCCAAGAGCCTCCATGCCGGCTAGGCCGCCAAACTGATTAAGGCCAAACGGTGTTTGGCGTACATCGGCCGGCGCACGTGCCGGGGTCTCGTTTGTGCGCGTTGGGGCCTTTATCACCAAATGCACTGTTAGATTGTCCTTGATGTTGTGCATCTTCAACGTGTCGGTGTCCTTCATGATTTTGCCCGCAAAAATTAGCACCAATTGCTCGGGTTCGGCCTCAAATTTTTGTGCCACCAAAATTTTGAACTGTTCGGAAAAAAAAAAATAAAATAAAACAAAACACAAAATGTTAATTATGTTGAAATCAAAAAGAAAATAAATTAAAAACGAAAAAATAAACTGTTGGTGAACAATGTTGCCCCATCGTTGTATTTATACACACACACACACACACTCACATTCGCATGGGCACACTCTTACGCACGCGACAGCGCGTATGTGCACTTTGCCATCCTTCCAGAAAAAATAAAATGCACTGTACCTTCAATTACACGGGCACACACACACAAAAAATACGTGGTGCACAAGACAAGTGTGTCCACCCCTTGTCAATGTTAGCCGCAATAATTGTTTTATTGAAGCACCCAGCGCCCAGTGCCCTGCACCCCCCGGCAATTTCACCATAACAGGCCATTCGACAGTTCACTTATTTAGTACTCACATCTTTTATTCCAGAATCTTCATCGACTTCAACAGTTTTCTTGTCCTTTGGCGTTTTAACTACCACGTTGATGCGCTTACTACCGCCTTCGGCCATTTTGATTGTTTTTCAGCGCTAGTTATGCGTTTCTTAATATAATGCTATGTTTGCACAAGTTTTTTATATTTTTTTTTATTTTTTCTATTTTTTTGTGATCGCCTATTGAAATTTATACGTGCTTTCAAACTAAATTATTTTCCATTTGATGAAAAGTAATTCGTCACTTTCTCACATACGACACACACACACACATATATATGTCAAATACAAAGTAGTGTGACCAGCGGCGGGCAGTCTATAAAAAACCAAAAGCAAATACAAAAATCATCTTGTATACTGCTGTATCGTGACTGGTCACACATATTAAATGTTACTTTCGAGCCAAAAATAAATTCAAATAAATTCAACCAAGTGGCGCAGTTTTAAATATTTTCAATTTATAATACTAAACAAATACAAAAATATAATTTGCGACATTCGTAATGTATAATGTGCTACTATACTATACAATTTTGGCATGTATCCAAATGAAAGTTGTGCAGCTTTTTATAAAAAATGATAAGTTAATTCAAAGAAAATCGAAATCAAATAATAAACAGAAATGAGAGTATTCGTTTGCTTCTGAGACGTGCGGCTGCGCATATTTGTATTTTTTTTTTTGTCGTAAAAATGAGAATGGCGTTTTAACGCCGGCCGGTCACACTACGTCTGGAATTCCAAGCAAACGACAAGCAAAAGGCAACGCATAAGGCAACGTAAACGGTTGAGTTAGTGAGATCTTGCATGCTATTTATTAAAGCGCAACAGTAAACAACAAAAAAATAAAAATAAAAACAAAATACGTAGATTATAATTATTCAAAAAGTAAAGCATAAAAAAAGTAAAAGTTACGTTACAAAGTCAATTTAGGCACAGAAGATACCACAACAGTATTTGTACGAGCATACGAATCAAAATGCCATAAAAATCAGTTCTTGGAATTTTTGGTAACATATATAAACGGTTTCTGAGAATTACCAATACCAGTGCCAACAAGTGCCTCGTTCCCGTGTGTGCCCCACAGGTATTTGTCTATCGGATAGCAAAGGTGTGTACTTACTTAGAATATGTGTACAAGTGTGGCCCTCTAGAAATATATAAATATACTTAATTATGTATGTGTGTGTATATATTTGTATATAAATTGCAGATGCAAATAAATAAACACAAGCGAACAATGCAACAAATAAGCTGCAATCAATTAACACTGGCACTTGCTCTGCTCTTTGGCCTGCACATCTTGGGCTCAAACGGACAGCATCCGTCACCCGGCTGGGTGGTGCCCGAGAAGGCAGAAGTGCCCGTTGGCAGCGATCTGAACATCAGCTGCACCATAAACCAGGCATTCTTCGACTCCTCGAAGACCAACGAGAGCTGCAACGTATCCGATCTGTATTTCAAGGCGAACATAAATGGTCGTCGAGAGTATTTCAATGGCACCGATCTGCAATTGGTCAACGATACCACAATTCTGATGTCGTTTACGAACATGTCCGATCAGGAGGGCGAATATCTGTGCATGTGCAAGGAAATGGGCATGTTCTCGTCCCAGGTGGATGTCGGCACCAAACCGTTGCCCGTCGACAATTTCGATTGCACCAGCTACGATTGGGAGTATATGTTCTGTAATTTCACGGCGCCACGGAATAGCATCAATACCAAATACAATATCAGCTTTACCACGGAGAAGAATACCAATTATCGTTACTATGTCGATTGCAATTTTGATGCATCGCCGCAGGTCAATTGCAACATAACCAGCGAGCAGTATAAAAAGTTTCCCGAATGGTATTATTTTCGTCTGGATATTGCCAACAGTTTGGGCAACGATAGCCAAGATATTAAGGTGGATAATGTGGAGCGCATGATCCTGGCACGACCCGGACAGAATTTGAAAGTTCTGAATCGCACCAAAGACTCGATTTGCTTATCGTGGGAAATGCCGCGACGCAGCAATTTTATTGGCGGCGTCTTGTGGCAGGTGCATGTGACGCCCGAGAATTTTCCATTATTAAAACGGCCCATGTGGCGCAACAGCTCCTCGGCGGCCAAGGATACGCTCTGTCTGACTGAACTGCCCTATCCGGGCTACAATTATCTGCTCGAGCTGCGCGTGCGCAACAACAAGACCAAATCCCGCTGGAGCCAGCCGCTCAGCTATCCATTTCGCACGGTCGCCGAGCGGCCAGCACGACCGCCTCGCATGACCAACGGCAGCTTCTACGTCTACTCAACGGGCGAATCGCTGACCCTCTACTGGGAGCAGCTGGCGAAGCACGAGCTGAATGGCGACAATTTTACCTATATCGTCAGCGAGTATCGCTGCAACAATACAATCACGTGAGTAATCCCTAAAACCAGCCGATATACCCGCAGTTGTTAGACGTTTACACGATGAACCTCAGTTCTGATAAGCTTGTAAGCTTGTCCCATTAATACATTGATCTATTACGCATAGAGTATGCATGCAAAACTTTAATGATTTCTTTAGAGCACAGTTTGTGGTGAAAAGTACGTTTACACGATGAACCTTAAACGTGATTAACAAGGAAATGCAGCTATATTGATAACTATTCTCATATAAAATGCCCGTTTTTCTTTCGCTGAAATAAGTTATTCATTAAAGGTGCTACAGTAAGTTTACACGATGAATCTTAAACGTGATAAGCTGACAAATGCAGCTATATTGATAACTATTCTCATAGAAAATGCTGCTTATCTCAAACTGAAATAAGTTATTCATGAAGAGTAGCTTTACTTTAAACGTCATTAACTAAAAGAAACACATTCAAATTTTATTCCTTGGAGTTTTCCATAATTTCTTGATACGATTAACCTTAATCGTGATTATATATATGCATTTAAATTATGGCTGCAGCTATTGTTCCTTTTACATAGTGAGTCTTATAGCTTAGATACCTGTTGTTATCTATTATTGAAGTTACCATAAACGGACCTTCATATTCGCGCTGTCCTTGTCCGGTTCTGGGAGACTTCCTACTAAGTCATCTATTACAATATTCTTCCTGACGCTTTGTCAGTTATAAGCAATACATTTTCTAAAGAACAAGCTACTTTGCCTCTTTGAAAATTTCACGAATTTCTCTTTTGGCTTAGAGTTAGGAATTAACCGGCAACTGTTCATTAGAGGAGCTTTCTCTAAATGTACATGTACATATTATATACAATTTACCTTGCTTATGTATCTCGAGAAACAGCATACTACGTGAGTAATATGTTCATACGATGCGACCCAATTGTAATTAATTATAGCTGTTGTTTTCAATTTTAAATAATTTCAAGACAACTCAGGAGCGCAAGTTTTTCTGGTTAAATCATATTCAAGTGACATGATTGTTTTGAACTATTAAGAAAAATATATTATTCTTAACGAGGAATACTTATTTTTCAAACGTTTTTTATTTCCAATGAACTGTGTATTTGCCTAGTTCCAACTACTTGTCTATGTGTATATAAATTGTTAATTAATCACGTTTAGCGTGCATCGTGTAAACGTTTGTTTGTGCCCCACTTCTCACGAATACCCCTTGTGTCTCTGCGTATTCAGAAAAAAAAAAACACAAAATTCTGGCAAGGCCACGTTTCGTAAACAACTTTTTATGGCTTTCATTTAAATATAGCCTCATTGAATAATATGCAAATATTTAAAATTCAAATTTAATGCAATCGATTTCGAAGTAATTCGCAAAATGTTTGTTTGTGGTTGCTGATCAGAGCGTTGCCACCTTGTTTGCAATTTTAATTATTAAATATCATTTCTGATATACCCAAAATGAATTTATACAAATCGATTTTTCGAACAGCCTTTATAACTATTTACAAATATGAAATTCGATGTCCAGACTGATTGATTGCCTGATTGACTAACTGACTGATTGATGATCAGCGCACAGCTAATCAGAGCGTTGCCACCTTGTTAGTATTTTGAGAGTGTGCACAAATATTTGTAGTTGAATTTATTAATATTCATTTCTGATATATATATATATATATTTATACAAATAATTTGTCGAGCAGCCTTCAAATTTACTTAAAAATATAAAATTGTATTTATGATTGATTGACTGACGGACTGATTGATGATCAACGCACAGCTGCCGAGCAGGCTGCATATCTATTAAAAAATATAAAATTCTATGTCCAGACTGATTGATTGCCTGATTGACTGGCTGACTGACTGACTGATGATTGACGCCCAGTTAAAACCCTCAGAGTTAGAGAGCTGAACTTTTCAGAAATTCAATGTGCCTTCAATTATGACTTTAAGACGCAACACGACTCAGTCATAGAACAATTTCGGTGCTCATTTCTTAACAATGCCACTTTGGCTAATTCCACTTAGCGAGCGACCACCGTAGCTATATTTAGATGAAAATATGTATTTATGTGCATCTGTTTGTTATTGCTCACTTTTCCATAAGACATATTGCAGCCAAGCGACGTTATTTAAGCTGAATTATAACTAAATATGTATGTATGTGTGTGTGAGTGTGTGTGTGTGTGTGTATCTGCGCATGTGCACACACACACACACACACGGACCCAGACACACGCTCGCATGTCTGATGCGGAACTGCATTGGAACATTGAGCAATTTCCACAAATTTTCATCTAACTATAGCATACATACATGTGCATGCGGTGAGGAGGGGGGGGGGGGGGGGGGGTGGTTGTGCATGGGGGGTGACTGGGTGTGTGTGTGGATTGGAGGGGGGGTTGGAGGGTGTGTGGTTGTGTGCGCGCACGTGTTTCGTTTTATGTAACCCTTGCAGTGAGTATTTTAGCTGTAACATGCGATATGTAACGCATAAAAAGGAGAGTCCATAAGATATATACACATGTTCCTTATCAAAATCAGCTTATAGACCTGCTCGTCTATGCAAACTTGTCTCGCAGTGTTGCCATATTAATCAAATGTTGTTCAGATATTATGTCTGCAAAACCCGCTGGTTCAAATCTTCAGAAAGTTCGGACTAAGATTTAGCTCTTGCATGGAAATTGTTTTATGTCTTTCAAGATTTCTTTAACAAACTTTTTTGTCAATCAAATGTTGTTCAGATATTATGTCTGCAAAACTCGCTGGTTCAAATCTTCAGAAAGTTCGGACTAAGATTTAGTTCTTGTATGAAAATTGTTTAATGTCTTTCAAGATATCTTTAACAAACTTTTTTGTTAATCAAATGTTGTTCAGATATTATGTCTGCAAAACTCGCTGGTTCAAATCTTTATAAAGTTAGTTCTTGAACGGAAATTGTTTTGTCTTTCAAGATATCTTTAACTAACTTTTCTGTTAATCAAATGTTGTTCAGATATTTTGTCTGCAAAACCCGCTGGTTCAAATCTTCAGAAAGTTCGGACTAAGATTTAGTTCTTGCATGGAAATTGTTTTATGTCTTTCAAGATTTCTTTAACAAACTTTTTTGTTAATCAAATGTTGTTCAGATATTATGTCTGCAAAACCCGCTGGTTCAAATCTTCAGAAAGTTCGGACTAAGATTTGGTTCTTGTATGAAAATTGTTTTGTGTCTTTCAAGATATCTTTAACTAACTTTTCTGTTAATCAAATGTTGTTCAGATATTATGTCTGCAAAACCCACTGGTTCAAATCTTCATAAAGTTAGTTCTTGAATGGAAATTGTTTTGTCTTTCAAGATATCTTTAACTAACTTTTCTGTTAATCAAATGTTGTTCAGATATTATGTCTGCAAAACTCGCTGGTTCAAATCTTCAGAAAGTTCGGACTAAGATTTGGTTCTTGTATGAAAATTGTTTTGTGTCTTTCAAGATATCTTTAACTAACTTTGCTGTTTTTCAAATGTTGTTCAGATATTATGTCTGCAAAACTCACTGGTTTAAATCTTTATAAAGTTAGTTCTTGAATGGAAATTGTTTTGTCTTTCAAGATATCTTTAGCAAACTTTGCTGTAACCCCAAACTAATCGAACGACTATAACATACTGTTAGTCTAGGAAAAGTAGGTAAGGGTATTTGGGCTGCGGTGTGCTCATGCTAGATACTCGCGCTTGCTTTGACGTTATAAAAGCATTTCTTATTAAACGACTTATCCCCATTAAATGAAAAGAAAAGAAGAAAAGGCAGGAACGTAATGAATGCCAGCCAAACATGCAGAAATTCAAGGAATTTTTAAAAATAAACATTTTTCAAGAAATCTGTGCACGTTACGTACGTATCCACCGACCGCACATATGTATCTATCCCAGCAAGTGTCTCTGCGAGTGTGTGCCAGAGACACGTGTGTGTGGGTTGCGAATTTTATTTATGTTCCAATTTACGTAAGTACACATGTCAAATGCACACATATTGCATATTGGCTGTTGTGTCTGTATATTCGTGAACTTGTTGCGTTATCTCAATTGCGCAGAACAGAAGTCCGAGACAGAAATTCGACATGGCTTACATGGCTCACAAACAGACTGATTACTGATAACCGAATGTCATATAGAAAATTTAACTACATACCAGATAACCAGCTAACAATATTGTACCCAATATAAGCCAAAAGAACCAGGCCCCTTGCAACATAAGTATCACAAGTATAATCTCTGGGTACATCTGTTCACTTTGATGAACAAATTCATTCGTTCATTTTCGGTCATTTTATTCACTCGTACCTTCGATCAAAAAAGTTTCGTTCAATCATTCAGTTTCTCACGTTCATGATTGACTGTTTAATGATTGATCATCAATGCTAGTCGGGGTACATCTGTTCACTTTGATGAACAAATTCATTTTCGCTTATTTTGTTCACTCGTTCAATCAGTTATTAAGTCGCTCATTTCCATTAATTCAGTTGCTCACGTTCATGATTGACTGATTAAGTAAACTATTAAATAAAATGAGCGATATACATAAGTATCACAAGTATCATGAATATTAGCCCGGGTACTTCTGTTCACTTTTGTGTTAATTTTCAATCATTTTATTCACTCGTACCTTCGATCAAAAACGTTTCGTTCAATCATTAAGTCGCTCATTTCCATTGATTCAGTTGCTCACGTTCATGATTGACTGTTTAATGATTGATCATCAATGCTAGTCGGGGTACATCTGTTCACTTTGATGAACAAATTCATTTTCGCTTATTTTGTTCACTCGTTCCTTAATTTAAAGACGTTTCGTTCAATCAGTTATTAAGTCGCTCATTTCCATTAATTCAGTTGCTCACGTTCATGATTGACTGATTAAGTGAATGATATACATAAGTATCATAGGTATCATCAATATCTGGCCGGGAACTTCCAGTTAACTTTGGGGAACAAATATATTCGTTAATGTTTGGCCATGTTATTCACTCTTTCAATCGAGTATAGAGGTTTCTATTAATTAGTTATATATTCGTTCATTTCCCTCCATTTCCCTTAGGTCGCTTACGGTCATGGATTGACTGATAAAGTCAACTTTTAAATAAAACGAGAAAGAAGTGCTATCTTCGGCACACCGAAGATTTAATACCCTTGCAGACCCAACCTTTTCAAAATGCTCATAGTGCTTTGCCCGTATCTAAGAAGCACAGGGAAAATAGTTAATGCCGAGTATGGTTAAGATATCTTGAAAAACAAAACAGGTTTCCATACAACAACTTAATTTTCCACCGATCGTTCCTATGGCAGCTATATGATATAGTTGCCCGATGTGAATAAGATTTTGCATAAGTGGAGGGAGCATAGTAAAACTAATAAATGCCGAGTTTGGTCAAGATATCTTGAAAAACAAAAAAATTCCATACAACAGCATAATTTTCGACTGATCGTTCCTATGGCAGCTATATGATATAGTTGTCCGATCTTAATAGAATTTTGCATATATATGGGGACCGTAGTAAAACTAATAAATACCGAGTTTGGTTAAGATATCTTAAAACACATAAAAATTTTCTATACAAAAACTTAATTTTCGACCGATCTTTCCTATGGCAGCTATATGATATAGTGGTCCGATCTTAATAGGATTTTGCATATATATGGGGAGCCTAGTAAAACTAATAAATACCGAGTTTGGTCAAGATATCTTGAAAAACATAAAAATGTTCCATACAAAAACTTAATTTTCGACCGATCGTTCCTATGGCAGCTATATGATATAGTGGTCCGATCCAGCTGGTTTTGACATATGAGCTGCGTGCAACAGAAAGAGGGAATTCTGCAAAGTTTCATAAAGATAGCTTTAAAACTGAGAGACTAGTTCGCATAGAAACAGACAGACGGACAGACGGACATGGCTATATCAACTCGGCTGTTGATACTGATCAAGAATATATATACTTTATGGGGTCGGAGATGTCTCCTTCTATGCGTTACACATTTCACGACAAAATTATAATACCCTCTGCAAGGGTATAATAACGATATACATAAGTAAATAAAGTTACTTCTAGTTAACTTTGGTGAACAGGTTTATTCGTTCATTTTTGGTCATGTTATTCACCCGTTCTTTGGGTCAAAAACATTTCATTCAATCATTCACTGTTTAACTGAATGATTGAATAAAATAACAATGTACGTAAGTATCATCAATACCAGCCCGGGGACTTCGAGTTCACTTTGATGAACAAGTTCATTCGTTCATTTTCGAGTCGTTAAATAACTCGGTCATGATATGAGCATAAATATTTAATGATATAATATAAAATATAGAATATAATGAGAGTAAAGTCTTGCTAAAGAAAATGTCAATGCTTGGAATAGTTCAACGTGAATCGGGAAAGATTATTATATAATTTCTGCTGCTTTTTAGCCTTACAAACTGCCTGAGATATCAGGTAAATTAACACCTGTCCGAGATTTTGCTAAAAAAAAAAAAAATCCCTTCACTTTCCTGCTTGCCGTTCACAGCGACACCTCGAGGATCAAGGTGGACACGAACTCGGCGACAATTGAGAACTATACACAGGATGCATACCACGAGATCTACATACGCAGCAGCAACAATGTGAACACGTCCGTGGAGGCGAGTCGCCTCTTCATACCCATGATCAGCAGCGAGGATACCAGCCTGCGCGTCCCGATGAAAATCCAGCGTGTCTATCACTCGAGCAACTCGAGCTATACGCTCGGCTGGAAGGCGCCCAGGAACAGCTCTCAACTGGTCGACTATACGGTCTTCTGGTGCCATGCGAAGCCGGCGCTGCTCTCCAAGTGCAATGGCTCCATACACTTCGAGCATGTGGCTCCGGATCGGCTGGAGTATAGCACGGCGAGCGGTCAGTCGCCATCATTGAATATGGCCGTCTCGGCTAACTATTTGGGCCGCAATACGGGCATGCATTGGGTGACCTGTACGGGCGATGGCAATGATGATCTGGCCAAAATGGATCCGGCCATTGACGATGCGAGCAACACATCGCTCACCGTCAAATGGGGCACCGAGGGCGTCTGTGCGGCCATCCTGAGCGGCTACAATCTGACCTATTGCCAGCGTTCCGAGGGCAAAGCGGACAACTGCACCACCAAGGAGCTGACCAAGGATGTCACCGTCTATACCATCAACAACCTGGAGCCGTTCACCTACTATGGCATCAAGATGTCCATGTATTCCCTGAAACGTGCCAGCAAATACAGCGACGAGCTCATCTGGCGCACCAACGAGGGCGCTCCAACACCGCCCCGGGAGCTCGTCCAGCTGAACGTGAGCAGCTCGAGTGTGCTGCTCGCCTGGAAGCCGCCGTTGAAGGCGAACGGACTGTTGCGCGAGTATCGCGGCACCGTTTCCCATAATAATGAGACGCTTCATTTTTATTTGCGCGCCTTCACCGATGAGCTGGTGGACACCGAGAAGCACATCTACTTCGAACTAAACAATTTAACAGCCTACACTCAGTACGAGATTGTGCTGCAAGCACGGACCGTACTCTATTCGGAGCCGAGCAATGTCATAAGCTTTCGCACCGCCGTCGGAGGTGAGTCCCAATTAGAGCTCTGCGTCGCGTCAGGCCATCAAGTTGCGAATACGTCTCGAAATTTCTTCGGCTCGAGCTGTTCCGAGTTGCAGCCAAACAGTTGAGTCGTTCGTCTAGCTCGAACATGTTGCACTTCGAACTTTGTTTGAATCGAAATAATTGAGTCGTTCGACTCGACCGTTTCCTTTCCACAACACGAACCGTTTAGCTCGAACATGTTGCTAGCTCAAGCACTTCGAACTTCGTTTGAATCGAAACAATTGAGTCGTTCGAATCGATCGTTTGCCTTTCACAACACGCATCGTTTAGCTCGAACATTTTGCAGTTCGAACTTCGTTTGAATCGAAACAATTGAGTCGATCGACTCGACTGTTTCCCTTTCACAACACGAACCGTTTAGCTCGAACATGTTGCTAGTCCAAGTACTTCGAACTATGTTTGAATCGAACACTGTTCGAGTCTGTTGATTCTCAATGAAATCGATTGAGTATCCGCGCTTGATGCAACTGATTTGACCAATGCAGGTCTCCAGTTTTGATTGTACAGAGAGTATAACTAATAGCCTTTCCCCCTTGCAGTGCCCTCGCAGCCCATGCTGATACACGTGGAGAATACCCAGCTGAGCACCACGCTGGAGTGGACGGCACCGCAGCGTCCGGCTGGACGTCTTGAGTTCTACGAGGTGGTCATCATAGAGCGGAATGCCAATAACACGGTAATTGGCCAACCCTTGAGCTATGTGAGCGCGCGCCCGAATTTGACCTGTGTCATGGCGACGCCCGTGTGTACGCCGCTGCACCGTTTCCATTACCAGGTGCGCGCTGTAAATGCGGAGCCGCTGCATCCACAACTGGTAGCGGAAAATACGATTTGGCGCTTGGCGCAGACGCAAAAGTGCGTGGCCCAGCCGCCGCTGACCGATGGCGAGTGGAGCGCGATACAGACGTACAATAATTCGAGCCTGTATCGATTGTACAAGTCGAGCTGGGCCAAGCACGAGGTGAGCTGCTCGCCGGATCCGAGCAATACCAAGCTGCTCGTCAGCTCCATGGAGGTGATTGTCGCATTGATTGTGCTGGGCGTTGTCTGCCATACGGGCTATCGCAAGTATCAGAAGATGGCGGACATTGATCTGGTGCTGCCGCCGGGCATTGTTGAGACCCTCAAGAAGCCCATCGAGATCGGGGTGATGAGCGGCAATGGCGGCGGCGGCGGCAACGCTGGCAACGCTGGCAGCGGCGGCATCGGCATCGGCATTGGCGGCGGCATTGGCGGCATCGTTTGCACACGGATCGATCCGATACCGGACTATAATATATATTCGCCGCACGATATGCCGCACGACTTTGGCAGCGGCAATGAGAGCTCCAAGCTGCTGCTGGCCAACAATTCGAGCAGCGGCTGTTGCAATGAGCGCGACAACTATGAGGAGCCGACGGCCAGGCGGCCACCAGCCAGCTACATGTCCATGAGCCAGGGCCTGCTGCTCGACGATGACGGCCAGGCGGGCGCCACGGAAATGCAGACCAGCAACAGCAATGCCACGCCCAGTCATGGCAATGCCAGCGGCTACATAAAGCCAACCAAAATGATGAACTGGCCAACGCCCAGCAGCATGGCCAACACATTGCCCAGCGGCAATGCACAGACGCTGTCGACCACGCAGCCGATGCTCGTGACAATGCCATTGAGCGGCTATGTGCCCGTTCAGGTGCTGCAGGCGCGACAGACACCGGCGCCGCCGGTTGCAGCGCCGGTTCACTTGCTCAACACCAGTAACTATGTCCAGGCAGCCGATCTGCACAAGCTCAAGCCGCCGACAGCGACAACTGGACCATCACCAGCAGCAGCAGCACCAATTGGAGTCGCAACAGTTGTCTCAGCATCAGCAGCAGCAACTGGAGCAGCAACAACAACAACAACAGCTCTGTCGTCGCCATCGTCGCCACGGTCGCCATCGTTGCCGCCGGCGCCCGCCGCAACAACGCTGATGCCCACCGGCTTTGGCTATACGGCCATGGAGCAGCTGCAGCGCAACGGCCTGATGAAACCAACCGGAGCAGCGCTGCAGCAGAGCGCGGCGACGGCACAGAATGCTCAACAGACGACGCAGAGATTGCAGCCAAATATTGGCGGATATGTGACGCCGCAGGATCTGAACGCATTGGCGCACAATCGTCATATGCTCTAAGCTGGACCAGGATCAGCAAGCAGAGACGAACGGAGAGCGAGAGATTTTTTTCGGGGGGATTTTTTTTGCTGCGTTGGTGGCGAATGAAACATTCGTTTGTGGCCAGTGCAGCCAGCTAGCAGCTACTATTGCCTTCCACACACACACACACACACACCTGGAGAGAGAGAGCGCGAAGGAGAGAGAGAGAGAGAGAGAGAGAGAGAGAGGGAGGAAGGGAAACACTCCATGACAATTGCACCGACAAATCAGCACATTTTGCACAACTGCACAACCTTTTGGTACTTACACACGCACACCCAGCTACACACACACACACACACACACACACACTCACACAGCCCGGCCACTTGTATTTAAAAAAAAAAAAGAACAAACTCTTGTATACTCTTTTTTTTTTTTATTTTATTGTAATTTTAATTTGTATTTTGTCACGTTTAAGTTCCGATTTGAATTTTGATTTGTAATTTATTTTTGATTTTAATTTTGTATTTCCCCGTTTTTTTTTTGTTCCTTCTTTCTTTGTTGTTTCGTTGTGGCACACATTATTGGCAGGCACTGTGCTAGCTCTTGTAAGGCACTTCGAGGTTATGTATTTTACGCTCTAGTATTGTTTATGAACTATCTTATGCATAATTAACTTTATATACCTACTACCAACTATATACATACATTATATGTAACAAAAGAAAAACGAAAAGTGGACAACAAAAATGAAGCTCAACGTTTTCAATGAACGATGCGCCCAGCTGATTTAAGAATATAAATATATATATATAGAGATATATATATATATATACATATATATAAAGATATATTTATATATATTCATGTATATGTTTATATATTATATGAAACCCACTTTAAAAGAAACAAAAAACATAATTCTCTGATTATGTTGTTTATTTATTATACTGATAACACTTGACCTTCTCATATTTGAAACGGTTTCATTCGCATATTTTTCCCGTTTCTCTTTGCATGTCGTTGGGAATCGTCATGTCCTACGCGGAAGTTTTAAAGGGTATTTGTGCAATGTGTGCAGCAGACGGAAGGAAGTATCTGCGAGCCGATAAATCATATCCGATCGATATATATCGATTTTTTGACATGGTTTATATCTCGATAATCATAAGAGCGACTTACACCCAGCATGATATCTAGGTTCTCGTATAGTAGAGTATTTTACTTTATGATAAATTATCGTTTTCTATCTTCTGCTTTATCGTTGTGTTTGGGTTTTAAGTTCCCGATTATTTTGATAAAGGATTCGGCAATAGAGCAGAGACAGAGGAGGAGTTAGTTCTGCAAAGAATTTTCCATTTAGAAGGAAAGCCTGGCTCGTTCTTAATTCAATTCAGCTTGAACCAAACGAGAAACTACTTTTCGATCGATCTATTGTTCCCATGGCCCGATGTTGATACATAATATAATATATATATACATATATGATATATATTTATATAAATATACATAAATATTTATATATATGTATATATATTTAATATTTATTTATATATATATATACTAGCAATAGAAAGTATAGATTCTATACAAATCGTATAATAGTGAGCTACAGCTATTTTACCTGTGTATGTATATATGTATGTGTGCATGTGTGTGTGTGTTAGTGTATGCATGCATTTATGTACATATATGTATGCATGCATGTTTGTTTTCTAATACGAAACGCAGACCAAGATTAAAAATTAAAAATAAAAATTTAAATAAAACGAATTTCTACCAAGTGCTCTCCTCCTCGATTCTCAAGAATTCAAGTAGGCTCTGCAGTTTTTCATGCTTGGCTAGTAGTGTATTGTTTTTTTTTTGTTTTTTTTGTTGTAACTTTTTTGTGTTTCGTTTTTTTTTTGGATGTATGTTCATATATATTTAGGTAAATATATACGTATGTAGTAACTACGTGTGTACATATATATGTATGTATGCATGTATGTACATATGTATGTATGTACATATGTATGCATGTATATATGTATGTATGTACATATGTATGTATGTACATATGTATGTATGTACATATGTATGCATGTATATATGTATGTACATATGTATGTCCATTTGTATGTATGTACAAATTTATGTATGTATGTACATGGGTATGTATGTACGTATGTATGTATGTACATATGTATGTATGTACATATGTATGTATGTAAATATGTATGTATGTACATATGTATGTATGTACATATGTATGTATGTACATGGGTATGTATGTACTTATGTATGTATGTACATATATATATATGTATGTACATATGTGCGTATGTACATACATATATATTCACATATATATATGCCCAAAAATCTTTGAATCGCATTTCTACCATTTTTATGCTTGGATTCTGTAAAAAGTGTGAAGCACGTCTCAAATGATTTTTCGCATAGATCTTTGGAAATAAATTTGAACTGGGAACGTCACCCACCAAATCTTTGACGCCCATTTCCACCAAGGACGAATGCATTTTTCGAGAAGTGTGAAACACTCGTCAAATGAATTTGAACAAAGATCTTTGAAAATGAGCTTGAGGCCGATCGGATGGTAAACAAAAAAGTATCACGGATAAGGCCGGGTTATACCCGCTATTATTCTACATAGACATTGGTCAAAATTTCCCACTTTCATAACTCGGTCAAAACTCAACCGATTTTCATAAAGTCTGGCTTTTTGTTAACTCATTCAAATCTCATACGATTCCCCCGCTTCCTCGGTGGAAAGTGCGAAGCCGTGAAGCTTTAAGCTCTACTTAAGAACTAAATGAATAATGAATATTTTTATATTTATACCCTTGTATACATTTTCCTATAAGGAGCGCAACGTCTACGTCGTAAAGGCATCGAACAAAGTCTAAGTTATAGAAATATATAAGTTATAGAAATGTAGGCAAGAACTTCTTGTATCTATCTATATAAAGGATTTGCCCTGATCATTGCATAGTTCAAAGCTTAAGAGCTCAAGAGCTGAAATTTGTACAGAACTTTCTTTGCGATTAAAAGTAAATGCAAAAACTTTGTGATTCTTCGAGCAATAGTTCTGATGAAGAGCAAAACAAATATGCAGTCAGCCAAGTGTTGCAGGCGGAACTTGCGCCTTGAGCCTGAGCGTCGAACCAACAAGCGGCTAATCGCTGGTTCAAATTCAGCAAAAATGTTCAAGCCTTACATATGTTTCTTCTATTGGTTAATATATTATAAAGTTATTATTATTAATTTAGAATTATTATATAAACTTAAATGAATTGAAAGAAAGAAAGAAAGAAAAAAAAGAAAGAAAAAAAGAAAGAGAAAAGATAGAAAGACAGAAAGAAAGACAGAAACAAAGAGAAAAGAGAGAAAGAGAAAAGAAAGAAAGAGAAAAGAAAGAAAGAGAAAAGAAAGAAAGAATAAAAGACAGAAAGAAAGAAATAAAGAAAGAAATAAAGAAAGAAAGAAAGAAAGACAGAAAGAAAGAAAGACAGAAACAAAGAGAAAAGAGAGAAAGAGAAAAGAAAGAAAGAGAAAAGAAAGAAAAAGAAAAGAAAGACAGAAAGAAAGATAAAACGAAAGAAAGAAAGAAAGAAAGAAAGAAAGAAAGAAAGAAATAATGAGGGAAAAAAGAAAGAATGTATGAAAGAAAGAAAGAAAGGAAGAAATTAAGCAATTAAGAAAAATAAAGAAATGAAGAAAGAAGGAAGGAAAAGATTGAAGGAAAGTTTGTCTGTAGAACTTGGATTTTCCATATCCTTATCTCAAAGCGATCAACGCCTAGTTTCTAGTTTCTAGTTCTACAATATCAAAATTGATATAAGTCTAGTTTTGACAGGTTATTTGAAGGTATTGGAATTAACGTTTTGGGAAGTATTTACAAGGGTTTTTCCTGGCGTTGCCATCTTCACTCGCCCAACGACAATCTCTGGTATTTTCCAGAAAATATCAAATGTGACAATTCATATTCATCGCGCTATTGAATCAATGATTATCTCTGGTTTTTTCCAAGAACATATTAAAAAAATATAAAAGGGAATTCTTTAGAATTGTTCTTCAATTAAATAATTATGTTGTATATTATTTATAATATTTAAGAATACGATCTTTATCCTGTAAATCACATGACTGAGGAATTCCTAGAAATGCTTCATTAATCAAGATAAGCGACTTCTGCGAACTATATATATTTATAAATATATATATATAAATAAATATATATAAATAAATATATATATATATATATATATATGACGCAGTCGGGCGTGATTTAACTGGGGGAAACGAAATGCGTAAGTTTCTATTGTTTAAATTTATTTCAATCGAAACTAGGTTATAAATTGTGCCGCATTATAACTAGAATAAAGCTGCATTGTACCGAGTATATAGATTATATATATATAAAATATGCTCTATGTGCGTGCCAAACGTGATTTGTGCCTTTATTAAGCCACAGCATAGGGTATGTGCACTTTGTCGCAAGCCTTGTAACGCCTGGAAGAGGAAGAGCTTTGAGTTCCTAGCCATCACATATCTATATATATATATATAGTCTGTCGCTCCCATAGGAAAGATGTGTTCCAAATTGAGCTCTTGTATATAATCTATAATATAATATAATATAGGAACAATCGGCGGTATATAGAGCTCATATACAGGAAGGGTATTTAAGCTTCGTCAGACGAATAAGTATTAAAATTCTTTTTGTATACCTATATCATAAATATAAGCACAGGAAGTGTATTCAAGCTTCGTCTAGCGCCGAGGTATTCTAATTTATAATGTAAATATATACAGGAAGGGTATTTAAGCTTCGTCAGACCAATTCTCTTTGTATACCTTTGTAATACATATATGCACAGGAAGGGTATTCAAGCTTCGTCAAGCGCCGAGGCATTCTAATTTATCCGAAACCATTGTAAATGGGCTTAAAAGGGTATAATGACTTTGTGCATATGTATGCGACAGGCAGAAAAGTCAACGAACTGCGAGAAATCGGAAATTGTGTACGTAATTTCGCTCAGTGCACGAAGAGATTAGGATTGAAAGCTGGTCACGTTTCCACGGAATTCGATAAGCACTGTTACATACAAAGGCAGAAAACCAATATACCCTATTTTTTAAGGCATATTCTTAACTAAACTATTAAAGATTAAAACTAAATAAGAGATATACATATATTATAGTTCTCTGGAAATCGGATTGTTCGAAAACGAAAGACCGAAATGAATTTCTGAATGAAAAAAAAAACAGCCCCAGTCCAGTCTGGGCTGATTAAGTACAAATGAATGTGTCCAGAGTAATGATTAAATGTGATGAGATTTAAGCACAATATTGATTTCGCTGAACGAGCTTATCAAAATCCTGCTAGTTCTGAGGCGGCGATTAAATGGAAATGCCAGCTTTTACAGGGAACGCAGAAGATCATATTATCCGCCCCACATATATACATATATATATATATATATATACACTATATATATATGCTCGTATTTGTACATACATTTAAAGTGATTACGAGCTGCGGTCCGAGTAGTTCAGAATAACTGCGGCGATTGGCGGACGTTTCACGCGCTCGGCTCGCGCAATATTCAAATTTTGATTAACAAAAGCATAACAATCAAAAAACATACATACATACTATATATATATATATATAGCCAAGGGCAAGCAATAGGTCCAGGCAATGCTCCAGCTGCGTCTGGGACTTGTGATTGTCGCGTGCCTCGCACACGGGGCACAGTGCCTCACAGAGAGGAACGCACACCTGGCTAACGTTCTGGTGGCGGCGTCTCGCTTGGATTTGCGCGCCGGCGATGCCTACAATGTCAGCTGTTCGTTTGCCAAGATGGACTCGCTGCTGGCGCTCTGCCCCGGCGGCATGGACAACATCAATATCCGTAGGCAGCCCGGCGTGAATCTGAAGGTGAGCAAACTGAATGCGACCAGTGTCTACCATGAGGTGCTAGAGGCGGAGCCGAAGCACTCGAGCGTTAACAGCTACGAGTGCCTGTGCAATGGCGTCAGTCTCGGCTCCGTCAAGTTCATGGTGGGCGTCCGGCTGGCGGTGAAGGACTTTGAGTGTCGCTACCGCGAGAATGGACATTTGTCGCGGCTCAATTGCAGCTTCAGCCGGCCGCCGCTTGGCCAGCAGGTGGACTGGACGACCAGCTACAGGCTGCAGTATCGCCAGCAGGTGTCCGAATGCCGCGTGGACAGCGACAAGGACAAGGAGCTGATGCACTGCAGCATTGCTATGCCGGACTATAACCGATTCGCCGATGTCTACGATTTGACGCTGAGCATGCGCGACCAGCTGCCGTCGGGGTCGCTGCAGCAGCAGCATTTCCAGCTGAGCCGGATGCAGTGCATCGAAATGGAGCCGCCGGGCGAAAATGCCACCGTGCTGCTGCTGAACAGCTCGGCGATATGCCTGGACTGGAGTGACAGCAGCCAGACGAATCACATTGGCTACAACATCAGCTGGCAACTGGAGCTGGTGCCGACGCCGCCGCCCGACTGGCCCCGGCCGCAGCCGCAGCGCTCCAGCCCGATCCGGCTGCAGCTCTGCCTGGCCCAGCTGCCGTATTCATACTACAACTACACCTTCCGGCTGTCGCGGCGCTACAATGACAGCCGCGCCCGCTGGAGCAAGCCGTATGAGCATAGATTTCAGACAGCGCCCGCACTGCCGGCACGTCCGCCCGCCGTCTGGCCGTCGGGCTATCATCGGAATCCGGAGCAGCCGGAGGAGGTGCGCGTCTACTGGCAGCAGCTGGACAAACTGGAGCGCAATGGTCCACAGTTCGAATACCATGTGCGCGTCCTCAGGGCCAGCGACAAGCAGCATGTCAGGTGAGTTCGCGAATCCATTTGCCATACATAGAACGGGCCCAGGGTATCTCCTAGTCGAGCACTTTTAATTGCCTTTGTGCGGAAAAAGAATAGAAAACCGATCAATATACGAATAATCATAAAAACTTTATAGTTCCTTGCCGTAATTAATCACATATTACGTGCCTTTTTGAGCGCCAAGTCGCACTCGCAAAAATGGCACGTAATACTTGAAGAATTTCATGACGAAACAACTTGAAGTACTCTGGTCGGGCGTGCACGACTAGCGAATACCCTGAAACATTCTTGATTCTAGAAGCTGCAAAGACAATTTGGCGGCACCAGCTCTTAAAAGCCTAGCATTTCGATAACGCGATTTTTATCGATAACTTACGGTTTATCGATTCGCGGAAACAAGCTCAGCGCGGGCTGGCGAACCTTCGTTCGAATCTCTAGCTCTTCAAGGTTCTGGGATCATGCAAATGGCGAGACGGACAGTCGAACGGACGCTGATCACGAATATATATATACTTAATGTTACATACTCGTGCACAAAATCATGATACCCTTTTGCTACACATTTTCAATGGGTTCAATGGGTATAAAAAAAACGATCAAATTGTTCTGCGAAGCAGCTAATTTGCATTTGAACCAATCAAAATAATCGATTTATTTTTGATTTGTCGCTTGCCAGGGCTGCAAGCTGCAAGGGCTGCAAGCTCGGAATAAATATGATAACTGGTTCGGTTCACGTTTCCAATGATTGTGTGGATCGGTTCGCGAATTATTATTATATTATATGATATGATATTTTATATGTTGCAGGCAGGCAAGGATTGCGGTCGAGTCGAACATGGCCATAATCCGGAATGTGAATCCGTCCGAGGAGAGCTATATAATAGAGATACGCAGTCGGAACGCGATCGGGATGTCGACGAAGAGCAGTCAGATACGGATACCGCAGCTGGTGCTGCCCGGCCAGCGGATACCGAGGAACGTGACCGTGTCCAAGACGGCGGGCAGCTTGAGCTGGGAGCCGCCGGAGCAGGGCGACAATCTGCTGGGCTACACCGTCTACTGGTGCCGCTCGAATGTGACGGATCGCAGCCATTGCAACGAAACGGTGGCCATTGCCTCCGCGGAGCTGGTGCAGCCGACCAGGTGCTACTACGAGGACGCCAGGCTGCGGCTGGACTCGTACGAGTGGGGCATCTCGGCCAATTATGAGCCAAACAGCGACGGCAGCGGCGGCATCCACTGGCTGGAATGGCATTATGGCGCACTCGTTAGCCAGAATAATGAACGCCAAGTCGACTGGATGAACAACCTCCAGGGCATCGTTGCGCTCGTCGTGCTGGGCGTCTTCATACACATGATTGTGCGCAAATTTCGTTCGATGTCCGACATTGATGTCGTTTTTCCCGTGGGTGTGCTCAGTCCGCAGCAGCAGCAGCAGCAGCGGGAGCAGCAGGATCAGCATCAGCGGGAGCAGCTGCTGCCCACCAAACTGCCCGAGCAGCTGCCCCTGAGAGTCGTGGCAGAGACCAGCATTGGCGACTCCGAACCCGACTCCGAATCCGCCATGGTTGTGCAGATGCCGGCCGTGCTCCGTGGCAACTTCATGCCGCTGGATGTGCTGGTGGTCGCGCCCGCTGCCCCACAAACGGATTATGTGTCCATGCAGTTGGCGCCGCAGCCCGCAGCGGAGTCCAGGCCCGTGCCGCTCAAGCGGCCCACAACGCCGGCTAATCCCCGCGTGCACTTCGCCTCGAACTATATAAGGATGCAGCCCAGGCCGGCGCCGGACTATGTAACGCCGCCAAGAGTCTACAGATAGTTGCTATACAAATGCCAGGACATCTTTACGCTATAGTAGTTCGATACAACGCCCACTTTTCCAGAGTCTTCAGATTGTCAGACAGAAGCGAGAGCACCACCCATGGAACCTATATGGACTGGACAACTAGAGTACAAAAATGGGACCGCAGGTCCAAAGTCGGCTTCGTTTTTGTTCGGGCTCCGAGACACGCTCGCATGCTCAGACAGCAAGAGAGTAGCAAATACATATGATTTGTGCGCTAGAACGGCATCGCTGTCTTTTCATCTCGCTCACACTACAGGAAACTGCCTTGGCTTACTCTCAGTGCTCGTTATCTCATTATGTCTAGGGATCGTTACATGTATGTGTGTGTGTGTGTGTGTGTGTGTGTGTGTGTGTATATGTCCGCACAAGCAAAAATGCGCACAATTTCAATTTGTTCTCTATGTTCTATGGTAAGTGGCGAGAGACACTCTCAGTCTCTCTCTCTCTCTCTCTCTCTCTCTCTCTCTCTCTCTCTCTCTCCTCCCCCTCCCCCTCCCTCTCTCTCTACCTATGCTTTTTACTCAATTGTAGATAGAAGAAGTATATTTTTTTTTTTTCGAATATCGAACAACAGTTCGTCTAATATGTATATTCCACCCACTTGTATATACATATAAACATTCTGTTTACTATTTATATTTATTTACATTTTGTATTGTTAATATATTGTTAGCTTTCAATGTTCTACCTCATTGTGGTTATGGTAAAAATGTTTAAAAGCATAAGTTAAAAATTTGCCTGAAACATAACCTCAAATATTGAAAAAAAAAAACACTAAAAATAATAAATAAATTGGTTTCTTGTTGTAATTACCAATTTAATAATAATTAGCACTTTAAGCTAAACCAAAAGTTGAAAATATATCTGATGTACGATTTTACAGTTAGACCTCAATTGAGGTTAGGTTATTTTTTATACAATTGTTTTGATCAAATGAAATTCTTTTATTTGCCAATTTAATAATATTTGGAATTAAAAAAAAAATCCAAAACTTGCAAAGGTTTCTGAACTACGATTTTGCATTAGGATGCGCTTTCAATTGAGGTTAGGTCATTTTTAAAATATTTACTTTAAATAGAATAGAATGTTTTTGATCAAAATTAGTTGGTAATTGCATAAATAAACTTCAATTAGTAAATATAGCATAAGGCCAATTCCAGGCTATAAAATATATATCTAAAGCATATCTGCTTTATAATATTAATATAATTATACAAGCATTTTGTACCAAGGCATATAATTATTATATATATATATATGCGTGTGTGTGTGTGTATATGTGTGTGTGTGTGTGTGTGTGTGTGTAAGTGTATGCATGCATGTTTGTTTTCTAATACGAAACGCAGACCAAGCTTATTTGTCGCTGTACTGCAAATTTAAATAAAACGAATTCCTACCAAGTGCTCTCCTCCTCGATTCTGAAGAATTCAAGTAGGCTCTGCAGTTTTTCATGCTTGGCTAGTAGTGTAGTGTTTTTTTTTTTGTTTTTTATTTTGGTTATTTTGTATCGTATGAGGATGTAGATATGTAGGTATGTAGGTATGTAGATATGTAGATATGTAGATATGTAGATATGTAGGTATGTAGGTATGTAGGTACATATGTATGTATGTAGGTACATATGTATGTATGTATGCATATATGTATGTATGTATGTATGTATGTATGTATGTATGTATGTATGTATGTATGTATGTATGTATGTATGTATGTATGTATGTATGTATGTATGTATGTATGTATGTATGTATGTATGTATGTATGTATGTATGTACGTATGTAGATATGTAGGTATGTATGTATGTATGTATGTATGTATGTATGTATGTATGTATGTATGTATGTATGTATGTATGTATGTATGTATGTATGTATGTATGTATGTATGTATGTATGTATGTATGTATGTATGTATGTATGTATGTATGTATGTATGTATGTATGTATGTATGTATGTATGTATGTATGTATGTATGTGTGTATGTGTGTATGTATGTATGTATGTATGTATGTATGTATGTATGTATGTGTGTATGTATGTATGTATGTGTGTATGCATGTATGTATGCATGTGTGTATGTATGTACGTATGTTTCTATGCGTGAATGTATGTATGTTTTTCTACAGAACCCAAAACTAGTTTCGGGCCTCAGTCAAATTTTTTTCCATTTCTGTAAAACATTTTCCAACAGCCCATAAAAGTAATCGCTAGATCAGTTCAGTTCATTTTTTTGGGAACTTGTTCGTTTTAAGATTTGGTTCATAATTCAAACAAACGATTCGAATAACGGATTCGAGCTGGTTTCCAGTGTTGGTTAGCAGAGTTCAGTACTTTAAAATTTCCTAAAAAGTCCCCTATAAAAATAAAAAACAGGCGGCAAGTTTTTATGATGTCAAAATTCAATTTTATTAAATAGATAGTAAATTTAAAAGAAAAAAAAAACTTTTGTAAAAAACCGAAATAAGAATTAACCGATAGTATTGCAAAAAAAAGGCATATTTATAAAGAAATCTATATATAAAAAAATATATGAAACTATAGTTATGTAAGGTAAGTCCATGACCAAGTCGGATGCGAGCACTCAGAGATTGGATGTGCTGGAATTGGCGCCGTGCCATTTGTAGGATCCGTAATAGATGAAGTTGTTCTGCTCGCATTTGCGATCGGCCTCCTTGGGGCCGCGGGAGCCGTACTGGTATGGAATCGATGGCGTCTGCTCGCGCTCGATCTTGTGCAGAATGGGCGTAAAGATGCGCCACGCCTCGCGCAGCTCATCGGAGCGAACAAAATGCATTTGGGAGCCGCAAAAGACATCGAGTATGAGGCGCTCGTAGGCATCCGGCAGATGGGAGTTCTTGTAGCGGTGCTCGTAGGTCAGATCCAGTTCGGTCTCCTCGATATCGAACGTGATGCCCGGACTCTTGGTCATCATCTTGAAGTAGAGCGCCTCGCCGGGCTGGACGCGTATGACCAGCTCGTTGCGCTTGGAGTTGCCCTCGAAGATGTCGCCGGGCACATCCTGATACTGGATACGCACCTCGGCCTTGCGCTCGTTCAGCGCCTTGCCGCAGCGCAAAATGAAGGGCACATCCTGCCAGCGCTCGTTATTGATCTTGATGACGGCCATCGCATAGGTGGGCGTTGTCGATGTATTGCTAACCGTCGGATCGTCCAGATAGCCGGTGCGCTCGTCCTCCGTCTTGCCGCTGGGATTGCCCACATACTGGCCGAGGACCATGTCGCTCAGCTGCAGCGGCTGGATGCACTTGAGCACCTTCACCTTCTCGTCGCGTATATCGTCCGGATGGCAGCTGCACGGCTTCTCCATGGCCACCAGCGACAGGATCTGCAGCAGATGATTCTGCATGACGTCGCGTATTATCCCGAACTCATCGAAATAGCCGCCGCGTCCCTGGGTGCCGAATGGCTCCTTGAATGTTATCAGCACGGAGGCGATGTTCTCCCGGTTCCAGGTCGAGCTGAGTATCTTGTTGCCGAAGCGTATTGTCATCAGATTCTGGACCATCTCCTTGCCCAAATAGTGATCGATGCGATACAGTTGCTCCTCCTCGAACAAACTGGCCAAATGATCGCTCAGCGCCTTCGAGCTGACATCGTCCCGTCCGAACGGCTTCTCCACGATCACGCGATTCCAGCCGCTGCCGGAGGAAAGAGAGAGAGAGAGAGAGAGAGAGAGAGAGATGGGTAAGATTAACGAAGCTATCAAGGCTCGCAAAGCTCGGCTGCTTACCGCGTGGACATGCAAATGTTCTTGATGTTCAGCGTCACCTGGTTGTAGACTGTCGGCGGCAGGGCCAAGTAGAAGATGCGATTCGCCTTGCATCTGTTCTCAATCTTCTCCAGCTGCTTGTTGAGCAGCTGATAGCCACCGGTTGTATCATACGGACCGGCCACATAGTCGTTCAGGCTCCAGAATTCATCATACTTCGCCTGCTCATCGGCTTGCACCTGCATTACATGGGATGAAGGTGTGCAAATTGTGGTGAGTGCTGGTTCAAATCCGAAATTTTTTATTACTTTATTTGATTAACAATTTATTTGTTTGCTCTGAACCGAAAACTTTACCAAAAACCGAGCAGAAACATATTTTTTTTTGGTTCAGCTCAAAAATAGGTAGAAAACCTGGTTCACAAAAAAACCTAACCTAAATGCGATTCGTTTGAACCGTGAACCGAATCAATCGCAAGTTTTTTTTTTTTGTTTGGGTTTGCAGCCCTGGTGCGAAACAGTGCTGCCCATTTCGATATTTAACAGTCGAATCTTTACTCAATTCAAAAAAAAAAAAGCTCAAGAGGGCTACGAAAAAAATATGCAAAAAATATCCGAAACCAAGTAAATATATAAAATAAATATATTCCTGAATTAAAGTTTCTCAGAGTTTATTTTTAAGTATTTCAAGGTCAAAAAAAAAAGAAGATAATTTTGAAGAAAAGAAAAAATATTGATGGCCAGAAAAAATATTTAAAAAATATGCAATAAAAAAGGAAAAAAGAAAGGAGATTTTTGGGGCTGGAACTTACCTTCATGTATGTGTGACATTGGGCCTTGAGTTCGTCGAGGGTCAGCTTGGAGCGCGCATAGCCGCAAATTTTGGTCGGCTTGGGCAGCAGATCGTCGCGATATAGCCACCATAATGTCGGATAGATTTTCTTCTTGGCCAGATCGCCCTGCGCATGGCGGAATTGAACACAATTAGAACCCGTATATTACGGCCTAATTACGGCCACTTACCGAGGCGCCAAAGACGACAAAGGTGTGCGGCAGCTTGCCATCGAACTGGGTGCCCTCGCATATCATGGTGGAGGACTTCAGGGACTTGATGATCCGGTCCAGGTGGCCGCTGGCCTGCGAGCTGTTGTACTCTGAAAGCGAGATCAAAGCGAATTGATAAATATAACAAGTAAGAGGTTCTAGTCGGGAGCTCCCGACTGGGGGATACCCTGAACCCTCGTCTTCCGACAGGCGGTAGGTATAAAATGAAAGATACTTGATTTATATATATACTATTCTAGAAGCTACATGTCAAGTTTGGTGATTGTAGCTCTTATTATTTACTGAAATTGCTCATAAAACAGGATTTCGATATCGATTTTTATCGATTACTTGGAAACGGGCCAAGTTATCGAATATCGGAAACAAACTCGATCTGCGCGGGGAGTAGGAGGTCCTACAGCTAAAATTTCAAGTCTCTAGCTCTTATAGGTTCCTTGCGTGCATACCTACGGGCGGACGGACGGACGGACGAACGGACGGACAGACGGACGGTATAAAAAACGGATAATCGATACGATAATTTATACCCAAAGAGTAGAGCGTGCTAACAGGAATCGGGATTCGGGCTCAGGTCTTCCTGCTCTGATATTGGTCTAGATCTGGAGGTCAGCTCTATGTCGTATCGTTCGATGCGCTTCCAGATACGTCTGACTTTCAGGCGTGAACGCAGCCGACTATATCTTGGCCCCAGCTCAGATAAGTGCACAAATACATATATATATATATGAGTATATACATATATATATGTGCATATACGGCATACATATATCTGGGGGCAATAACAGCTGAAAGTCGAAGCCCGAACCGAGACGCAAATCGTTCGGTCGCGCGATTTGTTCACATCGTTTTTCGGATATCATTTTTGTTATTTATTTCAAAATACTCAAAAGTGCACAAACTCGAGCACCTGTTATTGTTAGATTTGTATAAATATATTGTGCCTTGATATGATGTCTAATAGATACGAACGACAAGTAGTACGTGCTTCAAGATTTCCGTAATTGATAATATTTCAAAAACAAAAACAATTCTCTAACGCAAAACTAAACAACAAATCATTACAACTTTAGTGCACATCACAAGATCAGATAGTTAGGATCGTCGGGGAACCGTCTGATAATAATTTAGACAATTTCTAAAGCTTCACCTAACAAAATCAACATTATTTTAAAGGTAAATCATATTTTAAGCTTGAAATACAATAAAAAAAGAATATTCATGGAGCCTCAAAGAATTTGTCAATCTAAGGATCTACGTTTCCAATTTAAAGAAATATAATATTAAGGAAAAATATCAATTAATGCAAATATCTAAATGATCTAATAACAGAGAATTATGTAAATATGTAAATAATAGCAGATGTTTCGATATCGTCATACTAACTGAAATTTGATAATTATATATCTAAGAACTCATTTAATATTAAATAACTTTTTACAGCCCTCTCAGTTGTCTTTCAGGTTTGTGTTCAATCAAATCTAAATTACCAACTTTATAAATACATATATTCAATAATGTTTTTGTTTTTGTTTTTGTTTCTTTCACAATTTGGCAACACTTTCGAGCGCCTTCTAACTCAGCGTGTGATCACTGTAATTACAATGGTGATGTGATGAATGAGAATAAGTATGTGCATCATCTTGTTATTGTTTTTATTTTGTCACTTTTTACTGTCATTTCTTGTTCTCTTTTTTTTCTCAGCTCCTGCGCAGATGAGTCAGCATCGTGTTTGGCATTGGAGCAAAGTTTGAAAGGCTTTTTATGCACGCATACACATGCACTGGCACACATACAGCTGTAGGTATGTAAAGCATTTATACATGTGCACACTATTTACGTGTACATTTTCAATGTCATTAACATTGGCTAATTCTCAATGCCATTGCGCTCTCTTTGTCTCTCTCGCTCTCGCTCTCTCTCCCTCTTTCAGTTTTCAACTTTAACTTGAAAGGTTAACATTGGCGCACTAATCTTTGGAGTGAATGTGTATAACAAAAACAACAACAACAACAACAACAACAACGAAGAGAACAGCAGATAATTGCGGAGTGAGGTAAAGTGATTGGAATTGCGATAAGCCGACGCCACTTTGTAGGTGACCCTTTTGGCTGAAGAATACAATTTGAAGGGCGTTCTTGGCGCACTCTCTCTCTCTCTCTCTCTCTCTCTCACACACACACACACACACGCAATGTGGCCCACCTGTTGCGCTTACCACCTTTCACACAAACCCCCTTCCCCAGCCCATTTCCACACACGCTATTGCATTCATTGAGGATCGCGCATATCGTAAGCGTATATCGTATTTGACTTGCTACTTACCCATTTTTAACATGGATGACTCTCCTCTGTTAGCTGAGCGAAATTATTTGTTTACGTATTTTGTTGACAGCTTTGCTTAAAGTATTTATATATTTTGTAATTTTAGCAAATAACAAAAATAATGCCGCTTGCTGTGTTTGTATGCTTCTTCGGGTTGCGGTAATTAAGGCTAAAACAATTTGTCAAGCTTTTGACCAATAATTTAAATAAAGGTCAAGTCTACAAAAGTGTGATTTCAGCTTCGGTTGGCAACACGCACACACACACACACACACGCACACACACACACACACACGCACACAGCTGCACTTGCACGCAAGCGCAACGTGAACGAGGTTTTTATATGTATATATGTATGTATATATTTTTTTTGTTTTTTGTGTTTTTGTTGTTGCTTTTTTAAATCACAGTCAGTGCGAAGTCTTGTTGGTTGTTTGAAAGTTTTTTTATTTATTTATTTGAGCGCCGCCAGAGCCCTCAAAAAGAAACGATATGTAGCTTAACACGATCGCAGCGCGAATGCGCCAAAGCAAATGTACAAAGCGCACATGAAGCAGCGGCAATGGGCAATGCCAGCAGCAATAACAACAACAACAGCAACAGCAACAATACAAGCGCACGCCTTGTAAAAACAACAACCAAGAAGAAGAAAAAAAAAAAACAAAAAAAGAGAGCGCACAAACTTTTGATATTTTCAGTTTGAATGCGGCAGTTGTGGCCAATGTGCCGGTTCTCTGTTGTGCATAACAGCACACACACACACACACACACACACGAAAGCACACACATACTGAGACACACGCCCACACACAGCAGTGTGTCAGTGTGTGCCAACTCATTCTCAAATTGAGAGCCGTGGAGTAGCCAGTGTTGCCACAAAGTATAAACAACAAAAATGCTTTTCAAATTGTAAAATACGCCCATTCTGCAGAGTCATGCTTGTGATTACATTTACATGGACCTAGACCTAACAAATGTATGCATACATATGTTTGTACGTATAAACAACAGTTGTACAGTGCACTCACCTGTTCTACGCAGTGAAAGCTCAAAATGATAAGCAAAAATGGATGTAATAAAATGATTATAATTTGATTGAAAAATGTAAACAACGATTTAATTCTAACTGTAATTTTTACTGTTTCTGCTTTGCTTTAAATGGCAAATTTTGTTTTCTTTCCGCCATTTAATTTTGATAGTTATTATTATTATTATTACCGAACAGTAAAAAGTTCATTACGTTCCACAAACTGTTAGAACAGCCCTCGGCTAAAGCTTATGCTTGCAACTATGAGATTTGGTTGCCGGGCTGCCATATGAAAAGTCATCTGTGAGAAATATGATTATCGCTGTGAAATATGTATGATTACCACCAACAGAGGATTTTTAAAGGTCTTCTTCAAAAGCTGGTGATTCACCAATACATGTGTGTGTGCGTGTGTGCGTGCGTGTGCTACTATTAAAACACGCTTATCAGTGCCTCGCAGCCGCGAATCCATCAACAGGTGAATGAAATCAACAAACAATTTTGATGCGTGCTACATATGTATACGCTAAGCTGACAAATCGCAAACACTTGGCTAATCGTACGTAATGGATACTGATAATGATATAATGATACGGAATGATACATATGTATACAGTAAATGCTCGCTTAACGGACATATCCTTGCTATTAAACAATTTTTTTTTTTTTTTTTTAACAAAATCTGTTTTATAATTTTTTTGCGCAAAAAAATTGAAATAAATTTCGAAATTATTTGTGCTATTTTTCAAACCATTTTTCAAACCAAAACAGAAAAGTTTTCAAACATTGATTTTGTGTTTTTCATTCCTGTGTATTTTATTACGAAAATTGAGCTTTAAATTGAAATGCTGGTAGACAAATTGAAAAAAAAAATAAAAGACTATTTGCAATTTGTTTTTAAACAATTTCGAATAGTTTACCTAACACACCTTAGAATATATACAAATTTGGAGAGAACAAATAATTATGAATGAATTATGTATTTGCTATTTGTGTAACATGTTCGAGCTAACTTTAGAGCGGACATCTAGCTTTAGCAGGACTTAAACAGGTAACAGGTAGGTTTCCGTTCGAGGCAGCGTTCATTGTGATTGGTTGACGCTAGGCTAGTTTAAATTTAAAATGCCAATAGTCTATTATAATGCATATCGAAATAGTTCTTTGATTTATATTTACAATCAAACTAGAAATAAACGTTGAGAACAAAATAAAATTACAATAATTTTAGCACGATTTGTGTAGGACAAGAGTCTAAAGCCGCGTTCTAATATATATATTTATATATATCTGTATATATATATATATATATAGATTTATATGTGTGTATATTTATATATATAACTATATATATATATATATATTAATGTATAGCACATGCAGTTAACACATATTACAATTTTATTGTATCATTTTTGTTGTTGTTTTCGCATCTTTGTTTTGGAAATTCGACTTTTTGTTGAGTGTGTTCTTGGTTTGTTCCTCGTCCTATTGGTAGACATGCATAATGACATAAATAATCGATCTGCTCATCATCATATATACAAATCTTAAAGTTTCGATCATTTCTTTTATGGTCAGTGGAGCGCAGGTGATTGTTTGGACATGTACCGTTAACAGACCTCCTCGGCTGTCAGTAGAAGAGTACCGAGTGCAGAATTACCCGATTTCTTCGCTCCTCAAATTCCTGTATCATTTCATCGATATCATTATCGATATCATTTGATTTCGCCATCTGAAAGTGACCATCGCACAAAATGGGCATTAACTAAAGCATCAATTAAAATATATAATTTCACCAATTCATTTACCAAATTGAGCATGTCCGTTATTAAAAATGCGCCCATCAATGCGTCCTCCGCATTGTCGACAACATCAACATTTAGCACATGAACGGGTCGATTATCCACCGAGTCCATCGATTCCATGTGCATCACAACCAAATCGTAAACACGCTCCTCTACAGTAATTATAATATCGAATTGTTCTTTGGTTTCTTGAAAGCGTTCCGGGCATTTTTTGATGCGCCGGTTCCGGTCCAGCATGTGCAGCAGCCCGTTTTGTGTGTAACTGGAAACGTTGACGAAGATAAACATGAGGGCATTCGTTGGCAATTGTTGGCCGCATCAGCAATACTTACAATTCTTTGTCCTTTGACTCTAGATCACGGTATATTTCCTCGTAGCTGGTCCCAAATTCATAAACGTTGGGCTTGTCAAATGCGAGACCGGGCAGCTTGACCCGTTCACCGGTGCCGTAGGAGCGCACATTGAAGCCCTTTTTTGCGAGAAAATTGTGCGCCTCCATGGAGCGATTCATGTTCGATGAACAGACCACAGCAACGGACAATTTGCTCGGGTCAGTCATTGTTATTTGGCAGTGAAATTTATTACGATATAAACCAGTAAAAATACGACTTAGAGATTAACAACGGAATGACGATGGTCTTCGTCAATATTATTACAATGCGTGAGGTAAGGCGATAGACGGCCAATAAATAATGGCGGTCGGCCGATAGATTCAACAGTGCTGCCCAACCAATCAATTTTGTTCTGGCTCGATTCGATAGGTGTGACCACATGTCACAGACAATTTTATGTCGAAATGTATTCACAACAGTTGTGGCAACGCCAACAACTTGCTTGACTGTTAAAAAGCGTTACAATTATGAAAAAGATGTCAAATGCAACTGTCAAATATTTTACCCTCTTATGCAAAATTTCAAAAGTAAATCAAAAATAACAATTTATATGGTCCGTCGTTGATATTTTATAGAAAGGAAATAGAACGAATAGATTTTAGTTTTGAAATTTTCATTATGAAAATCGACATGTATATTTGTATGTACATACATACGTATGCATTAATGTACATGTGCGATGAATGTTTGGTATGCAAGTTGAAGTAGACAGAGAATGTTGTTATGTGGCAAGTTGCTACAGCAACAACCAGACGCCAAGAGCTCCCTAGCTAATGCAAAAGAGCGCACGCCCTGTGCCCCATCCAGATCCAGCCGGAACTTGTGGAATGCGGCTTAGCAAGTTGAAGCTACCGCTGCTGCTGCTGCTGCTGCTTGTGGCACACCAACACGCACTCATTTTGCCTATACCTGGGACACACACACACACACGCTGTTATCCACACACATTTACAATTGCAGATGTGCAACATAGACAGAGCGCCGATCAGGTTCAGGTTATTTGCTTGTTGCACAGTGAATCAACATTTATTTATTTTTGTTGTATTTTGTGTTTTTGAGTTCCAATTGGTGAATAAGTTCAATTGTTCATTTACAAATCGTGAACTAACAAATCGGTCACACTTTCAGTCATTCGAACGATCCAGCTCGTTTGCTCAGTCGCTCATGAACTTAAGCTACGCATGCTGCCAAGAAAGAGGCGCATGTGTACCACGGTGCGGCGGTGCTGTTTGTTATTTTAGCGTCAGCCTTGCGTCCAACTCGCGCGCTCGCTCTATCTCACGCCCAGCGTCTGTGGCTCGTTCCCTGCGCACACATGCGCACGTGTTCGTGTCTGTGCTTGTGTGTGTGTGTGTGTGTGTGTTGTCTTGTTAACTGGTTATGCGAATAGTGGACGCAGCAGTAGCAGCGGCAGCCCCTGCGGCTAGAACCAACGGCTGATGCCGACTGCGGACCTGGCGACGGCGACTGATAGTCGTTCTTTGTCACTTGATCGCTCATCGTTCACTTGTCGCCCGCTCCAGCTACACATATACACACACTCTCTCTCTCTCTCACACACACACACACACACACACACACACACACACACACACAGGCACGGCAGCCTGTCTCTCCGCTTGGCCGTTTTGTTTTGCTCCGTCGTCCAGTTGCTGCTCGTGCCTCAAACCCGCTGCGTCGCGCTTCGAACCACGTCTCTTGGCCAGAAAATGCCGCTGCTGTGGCCCAGCTTGGCCTAGACCCGTTCATCGATACATTTTCATTTCAACATTTTCAATTGCTGGCTCCGCAGATTTTGGCATTTTTTAATTATCTTAGCCATGGCTATGCAAATGTCACAGCCGCCGAACGGAAATTAAAGAAAAAAAAACCAACAAACAAAAATATAACAAAATAACAAAAAGGTAAACTTGTTTAACAACTCGCCAAATTGCATTGCAGTGTTTACCATACATATGTACACACGCATACATACATATGTACATATTTGTACACTTTTTTATATTTGTTTTTTTTTTCGGTGTTTTGTGCATGTGCCAAATTGCAAGGCAATCAAAAATTTCGCCTCAACTCATCTGCGGATTCGTGTAAAACAACAAAACGAAAAGGAAAGACGAGAGAAAATACTGTTATATGCAGTTGGTCGAAGTTGCAATACCCTTGTCGAGCAGATAAATAACTATTGCTCCCATGGGACGTATGCAGCTTATAACCAGGGCTGCAGGCTCGAAAACAACTTGTCCTTGGTTCGGTTCACGGTTCGCGTGCAACCTTCCCGCATCAGCGTTGCCAGCCGCCGCTTAAAAAACGGTAGCTTAGTCCGCTGTTAAACAAAAAGAAGCTAAAAATAAGTGAACTAGCTTTAAACTTTGTTTGAGATGACAAGATATATACATATAAGCTTAAAATTTAAACTGTTTGTGGCTGATGATCTCTGAAAATAGTTACTACTGCAAGAACTTAAACTTCGATATAGTATAATACGATCTACGATGTAGTTAAATAGTTTTCGAGACTTTTATCAAACATTAATACAAAAACTCATTTACTGGTAGATATATAATATAGTCATTCGATGTTTTTAGTCTTGAAGTCTTGAACAAATTATAATACCCATTGGCAGGGTATATAGTACAGAGAAGACAACGAACTGGCTTCGGTCAGCTAAAAATTGTGCTTAATTAATTTGAATTGTGTTTTCCACATAAACTCGCCAAGGATAAAGGCAAATTATTGAAACCTTATTAAGTTACGTGGGCTTAAGTATAAGTATAAGTCAGTTCATATTTAAATGGATCGGTTGGGTAACTTGACTCTACGTGCTTTTGGCCACTTAATTCTTGTGGCAATTTCCAGCTCTAGCTGAGCGTGCGAATGGTTCTGCATTTAGTACGTGTATCTAAGTATCTGAGCATCTGCCCAGCCTTGGGCTGCATGATAAAAAAAACTCTGAAGAAAGCCATTAAAACGGTGCCCGGCCAAATGAGTGGGGTCCGGGCGTGGGGAACTGGGGAACAACTCAGTGAAATGGCGATTCGATTTTGGGTATATCTTGGTCAGGTGCGTGAAGTTATTAAGCCAGCTTATCGGGAAACTAGTTTGAGGCCTTACTTATTAACTAATTTAACCATTTGAACACAGAAAGTTTCATTCAGGTGGATATTACTTTACTTTGCACAGGTCAAATTTTGCCCTTTAAATTTTATGTCTTATCTTTATCCATAAACTATTTTGTATAGTTTATATAGATTATGCCAAATAGGTTTAAATCCGTTCGGATGAAAAACAATAAATTGCAATCAAGGTTTTAGGGAAGTTCCACCAAGCAGTTGCGGATTTTGCGATAAGCATGAAACACGGCACAAATCAATTTTCACGTAGATCTTTGAGAAAAAAAGACTTGGACAAAAAACTAAGTAACCAATCAATCAGTCAGTCAGTTGGTCAATCAAGCAATCGGTCAATCAGACAGTCCGTCGATTAGTCAATCAGACAATCAGACAGTCAGTCAGTCAGACAGTAAGTCCGTCGATCAAACAGTCTGTCGATCAAACTGACAGTCAATCAGACAGTTAGTCCGTCGATCAGACAATCAATCAAGCAGTCAGTCAGTCAATCAGACAGTAATCCCTTCGATCAGACAATCAGTCAGTCAATCAGACAGAAGGTCCGTCCATCAGACAGTCAGTCGATCAAACTGACAGTCCATCAGTCAGTCAATCAGTCGATCAATCAATCAATCATGCTTTACTTTCTATATTTTATTAATATTAGTAATATAATTATTATCACTATAGTAATTATTGCTTTATTTTTATTTATATCGTTTCAGTTGCATAGACACCGCGGCACAAGGCAATCATTATGTGAACCAACCCGTGGAACTGTCAGCGTTGAGGAGCAGACTTAGCCAGGCAGCAGCAGCAGCAGGAGCAGCCGCCGCAGTCGCAGCCGCAGGTGCCACCGGCAGCCAAGCATAGTAGTTGAGTAGAAGGAAGAAGAAGAAGAAGAGCAAGCAGGGCACAACTAGCTGGACAGGAAATGCTGAAGCACGCCTCGAATGCGAGCAGTGCAACTGCCGCGGCGCCCGTCAACGGCCAGCTGCTGCGCACGGCCAACGGCAACGGCAGCAGCAGCAACAACAGCAATTGCAACACCAACAACAACAACAACCACAATAGCAGCAGCAGCAGCAGCAGCAATCCACCCTCAGCGTCGGCGGCAACAACAACAACCACAAACGCCACCAGCCCCGTGCCAGGCGCAGTCGCAGCCGCAGCGGCAGTAACAGCCGCAGCAGCAGCGGCGGCGGCAGCAGCGGCGGCAGCAGCAACGGCGGCGGGCGCATCACCAACACCGGCAGCAGCTGCCGTGGCGAGCACAGCACGCAATATACACCTGCGACCGCCGCAGCCGCTCAATATATCCGCGCTGAATGCGTCCGCGTGCAGCGGAACGCTGCTGAACGGTGCGGTGCGGGGGGGTGTTGGCAATGGGTCGACGCTGCTGAATATTGCAACGGCGCCAATGAAGCCGTTAACGCCGCTGACGCCCAACGGCAATTGCAATGGGAACAGTCTGCATCATCACACCTACACGAATCAGCATATGCTGGCCAGCAGCAGCAGCAGCAGCGGCCATCAGCAGCAACAGCAGCAGCAGCAGCAGTCGCAACACCTGCCCCAGCATCCACTGCACAACAACAACAACAACAACAACAATATTAACAATATCAGCAACAACAACATGCATAATTATAGCCACTGCAACAATTTGGGCATTAATCCAAATTCTGTGCTGCAGGCGAGTGTCAAGCCCACAAAACATGGCCCAGGACCGCGCGAAGTGTTGACCAGTCTGGGTCTGCTCTGTTTGGGTGAGTGGCAGCACTTTTTGGCATTTATTAGCGACATTTTTATATGCGATCCTGGCAGCGCTGCCATCTAATTCTCCGTTCAACTAATCTCGACGATCACAGCTGTTAAACAAATTCACTTTGCTTTTTTTTACCTTTTGTTGTTGTTTGCAGCGCATAATTAAAGTGTATTTTGTGCAATTGCCTATCGCCTATTTAAAGCTGTCACTTTGCGGCAGTTTTACAGCAATAACCATGTGTTGTGGCAGCGTTGCCAGCTAACAGTTTTCTTTGATTTGCCTGTTATTCCAAAATGCGCAAGTCAGTTGATTTTGAAAAGCTGAACAGTATCATCCTAGCATTTTATTGTTTTTCATTTCTACCAACATTTTATACTTATATTTCACTTATTATTTTCATTGCAGTTTCCCTGTTGTTGGCGCTGCTCTCGCTGATCTTTCTGCTAAAGATCTCGCCGAATAGCCGCGAGGATGCGCTAACGCGCAGCATCAGCAGCGAGGATTTCATCATTGTGTATGATGTGACTCTGGCGCTATGCGCCCTGTCGCTCTCCCTGAATCTCTGCTGCCTGCTCGTTTGCGCCATACAATTCCTGTTTGCCGTCAAGCTGTTGCGCTCACCCATGTTCGATGGCCGGGACAACAAGTACTTGGAAAAGTCGAGTGCGAGTCGCACGTGCGCTGTCAGCGGCTTTTTCATCTCCATACCCGTATTTCTTACCGGCATCATTTTGTACACGTTCAATCATTTTCATTCGACGCCGGCGATCATCACGAGCGTCCTCATCGGCGTGGGCATTGTCTTCTGCGGCGGCGCCATGGTTCACAACGTGTTCGTGTGGCAAAAGGAGAAGACAATCAGCTATCGGAGTCCGCCGGTGCCGCTAAACATGTCGCTGCTATCAACGGCGACGCAGTTGCCGCCCGTTCAGCTATTTAACAATGCCGGCTGCCAGCCGGTGATGCCGCTTTATGGACAACAGAATCATTCCATGCTGCAGCATCATCATCCCACATCGGTGACGCCCGTCTCGCCCAATCATTCGCATGGCAGCTTCAACCCGCTGCTGTGCGCCGCCAATAATAATGGTATCGGTGGCATCATCAATTCGCCGTTCCTGGTGCGCCCGGCGACGGCGACGCCGCCAACACCCAAACCGATTGCCATTGCTGCCAATGGTAGCTGCCTGATGGGACGCGAGGCTAGCGGGTCGGTCAGTCCAGGCATACCGCCCACGCTGGACATGAGCAACATAACCATTTCGCTGCATGAGCTGTCCACGTTGGTCTAGACCACCCAAAACCATGCCAGTCCCAGTGCCCCCACTAATACAAATAAGCAATAAGCATAGCCGTTAAATTTAAATATGTAGGAATCTGTGTAGTTTTAGACGACATCCACCGTAAAGTGTTTAGCTTTAATGATGTCCCACTTGCCGCCCCGTTGCCGTTTATGTTTTAAACAGTTGTATATATTTGTATATAGCTATAAAGAATTCGAATACATATTTAATATATTTAAACTTAACGTCTCCCCTGCGCTCAATCGATCTTTGATCCCATTGCTGTTATCGATATATCGTTGTATTGTAACAAATGCAGGTAAGCTGTGCCAAATGTTTTGGCAACGCCAAAAACACATTCACATTGAAAATCTTCATGTCAATAGACATGTCCAATTGACACGCTAAATCTATAAGTTTGCCTGACCTCCAATGACAACGTTTATGTTTTCAACTGTTGTATATAATTGTATATAACTATAATGCTTTTTAATACATATTTAATAGATTTTTATTTTTGTCGTGTTTGATGTGTTCAATCGATTATTTCGCCAGAAATCGAACAACGAAATCCGCTGTTATCGATATATCGTGGCCGTGTAACAAATGAAGTTTAAAACTGCCAAACGATTGGGCAACATCAAACACAACAGTTATTCGCATTTAAAATGTTTGAAATTCCTCTTGCAGATGCTTCAAATATAACTTTGCCGCGTCTTGGCAATTTAAATCCGATTAACAACCAAAAAATAATAAAATAAAAATTCCAGGCAAATGTAAATTTTGCATCAACTTCGGCTAAATAAGTAAGTTTGTGTGTGTGTGTGTGTGTGCGTGTGTGTGAATGCAGCTCTACTTCTTGGCTCGCCCCCGTTTCTTGAGCGGCACAGAGGCGTCGCTAACTGCAACTATGTGAAATTGTGTTTAAGTTAAGGTTTATGCAAATGAAAGCTAAACACTTACCTTCGTGCACGTCTGTTGTTGATGGTGCAGGCGGCTGTTCAGCTGGCGGTACCTCCAAGGTGCTGCGTCGACTGCGCAGATTCCTGGGCTCGACTGGCGGCACCTCCTGTTTCTGCTCCTCACTGACGCTGGGCTTGCGTCCACGTCTGGCTTTGGCCGGCAGCATTGCTGCCAATAAAACAGGCGGCTCACTGCAGCTGCGAGGTTTACGTGTGGGCGTGCCGCTGTCTGATTCCTGTCCAGCGACGGCGACGGCTACGGAGCCCCAGCTGCCCACGGCCGGACTGCTGGCCAGCTGGCTCAGATGTGTGCGCGAACGTGTCCGCGGCAATGCAGGCGATTCGCCAGCCTCCTCAATTGCCTCCAAGGGCCGGGCCAACAGCTTTTGTCGCCGCTTGGGCGTGGAAACCGGCACCGTTGAGATGGGCGGCAAGGAACTGCCGCGCAAAACGCGACGCATGCTGCTCACTGAATCATTGCTTCGCAAACGCCTTTGCCTTTGCTGTGCCACCGGCGGCGTTGCGGATGCACCCGTGTCGGGCGTGAGCTGCTCCTCGCTGAGCGCGCTGCTGCTGCGGCGGCGCGAACGCAGCTGGCGTCCGGTTACTGGTGACGGTGTACTACGATTGGAGGATTCACTGCGACGCTGATCATCGCTGCGCAGCCGTATACTGCGCTCCGGCACCGGCGGTGTTCCGGTTAAACTTTGGCGTGTGCGTTTGATGCGCACCAACGGCTGCCTGGAAGTCTCTTCAATTGTGGGCAGGGATGTTGCCACAGAGACGCGCACCGGTTCCTCCCCCGCGACCTCCTCCGCCTGCTCAGAATCGGATAGGGTCAGGCAGGGATCGAATTCCACATCGGAATCAAGACTAATGGGCTGATCCACATCCATAACCAGATCGGCGTCGTGATCTGTCACCTTGACAGCGGGCACAACCATCTCCAGTTGATCTTTGTGTTCGCTGTAGGCGACCGTGGCCACCGACTGGTTGCTGGAGCCGGCATCCGATGGAGTAACTAACACAATTGTAGTTGGTGCAGTTGGCGGTGCTATCGACGGTTGCACCTCGGCGCTATCCAAGCTGTCCAAGTTGATGGTATACGAGTCGCTGTTGGCCGTCGCGCCCAACGAGGGGCATGGCACTTGGGTAGACGTCGGCACGGATTCGTCCTGCTGCTTGAAGGCGAACAGCTCGGCGCTGCTGCAGGCGGCCAGCGGCTCTGGACGCGCCACGTAGCCGCGCACCTCGGTGCCATCGAGCGCAATGACGCACTCGTCCTCCTCGTCCAAATCGTCGTCCTCCTCCAAGGAGCCCTTGGTGGTGTCCAGGTCATCCACCGTCTCCAGACTGTTGGCACGATAGAGCGAACGATTGGAACCACCCGCCGCCGCGCCGCCATGTGCCGCACGTGGCGGACTCGATGTCTGCGAGACGTTCGTATCGCTGGGCAGAAACGAGGTGGGCGTATGCGAGGTGGGTGACCGGGAGTTGCTGATCGAATTGGTGGACTCCACAACAATCGAATAGACCGGAGCATCCTGACGCGTTTGCCGTGTGCTGACCACACCCGACGAGGACATGTCCGATAGCTCGCTGCTGACACTGTAGCTGGGCGAGTCGCGATTGTAGTTGAGGGTGGCGGGCTCCTCGGTGCTGGAATGGGAGCTTTGCTCCTCTTCCTCCTCCTCCTCCTCCTCCTCTAGTTCCTCTTCTGGTTCTGGCTGTTGTTGTTGCACCGGCTCCTCCTCATCTTCCTCCTGCTCCTGGTCCTGGTCCTGCTCCTCTTCCTCCTCATCATCATCCAAGTCTATGTAGGTCGTAGCTGCTGTTGTTTTCGTTTGCTCTGCCAGCTGTGGCTCCTGTTCAGCCGCTTGCTCCAGCGCCAGCGTCATATCATAGCTGGACATGCCCAGTGTGGTGTCCAGCATGCGGAGCATTTGCGGCTGCGTCGCTGGCTGCAGCAATGTGGACGGCATGGACCATGCCGTAGGCGATGTGCCCACACTCGGCTCATCCATGTCCCCGCAAATCGTTGTGCGCTCCGAGATCTTGACTTGGCTGCTCGTGCTGGCCACCTCGCACATCTTCGAGGAGCAAACGGGCGGCACGAATTCATTGAGCTGCAGCGAACCCGTCGTACTGCCCATGTGGATCGTGGCGAAGCTGCCGAAGCCGCTGCTCTCCTGCTGGCTGCTGCGCGCCAGCAACAAGGAGCCGCGAGGCTGTGGACCAGTTGGCGGCGCCATCGATGCACGTTGCTCCTGGCTGGGATCAACAAAGGACACATTGGCCGAGGCCAACGGTGACAGATACTCGGAGTCCGTGTCGGAATTGGAGCCGGAGTCGTTGGGCTGCTGTTGCTGCTCCTCCTCGGGATTGGGATTAGGACTGGGACTGGGACTGGGACTGGCCGGCTGTTGATCAATTTCCACAAATATTTCATCAGTGCCCTCCTCCTCCTCTTCCATCTCCTCCGCCTCTTCCACCTCCTCCATCACCATCATCTCGACATCTTGGTCACTGCCCGCGCGCGCAAAATCATCCAGCGGGATGGGCGGCATAAAGCTGAAGCTCTGCCGCTCCGCCACCTGGGGCTGCGATGACTGGCACCTGGAGCGACGCCGCTTGAGTATGGTGGGACGCTGCTGCTCCTGGACAGCGACTGCTGCCGGCTGCTGTTGCGCTGACTTGGGCAACAAATAGGCCGGCGGCTCCAAGAGCGCAGCCAGCTCGCGTTCGTCGTGCAGCATTGGCGACGGCTGCTGCTCCAGCTCCGGCTCCAACTCCTGTTCGGCCAGTTCTAGTGAACGCTGGACAAAGGTTTCCATCGCATTTCCGAATTCGAGGCGCGGTCGCTTCGAGGGCTGGTGCACAACATCCCGGCTACAGGTAGCCAGATTCGGATTGAGCATACGCTTCTCCACATACTGAAATTGGGTGGGACGCACATGACGACGCAGCTGTGGCACATCCTTGACCGATTGGGCGGCATTACGCAGGAACGGCATGTTCCGGCTGTTCAGCGTCTGCGCCTGCTTTCCGTTGGCATAGCGTGTGGCCCAATGGGCGCTCAGTGCGGAGCTCTGAAAGATGTTGCCCAGCTGGCCGTTGGCGTTCTGTTTGGCCAGCTGGCAGCTGAACGGCTCCGGCGAGGGATTCCTCAGCTGATCCCCATTCAGTTTGTCGCGTATGCGAAAATATGTGCCAGCTATGGATTGGGTTACGGGCGCCATGGTCGTGCGATAGGCGGACAATATGCCGCTCGTCTCATCATTGGGTCCCTGCTCACGCTCGGCGGCCACCTCATCCATAAAGGACACGGCCTCAATGTACTTGCAGCGCTTGAGCAACAGTATCAGCTGCACACAGTCCGTGGCGCGTGTCTTGCACTGGCGCAGCTGGCGATAGACGAGCTGCTCCTCGTGCTCCCGCAGGCACAATGTCGCCAGCACCGTGAATTTGCCATTGAGAATGCAATGGCGGAAGAAACGCTCCAGCAGTGGTCGACCATCGTCGTCCATGTAGATGCGGGCATGATGAAATGCCTCCGGTATATTATTATTGGCCAGCAGCACCTGCAGCTTTAGCTCGGACGATATGAAGCCAGGCGGCATGTGCACCACCTGCATCGCCTCCTGGTTGGCCCTATGCGCGAGCAGTGTCTCAATCAGCTGCTTTGTCTGCCATTCCGTGTAGCTGCTGTGACCGAGGCGACCCCTGTACAGCACGTCGATCGTTTGCTGAGCGAGCGCGAGAGAAAGAGGGTGATTATGAGAGAGGCAAGACTTTGATTAGAGCGAGGCAGGTATATAAAAAGAACAGACGACTGATTGATTAATGATCAAGACTTACCTCGTAATCGCTCTTGTCCAGAAACCAGAAGGAACGCGCGCACTTCAGCAGCGGCTCGGCTATGCCGAAGGCCATGGCAAAGTCCTGATAGAGGGACCTTTTGCGCTTTGGCACGAGCAGCTCCTCCACATCGTGCATCACATACAACATTAGCTCGTGCTTGTGCTCCAGCTTGGCATCGGGCAGCAGCATAAGGCGCATCAACGATTGCAGCGTGCGCGGCGGATAAAGCCCATCCTGATCGCATTGGCGCTGCAGCGCGGCCTTAAAGCCGGAATGATGCAGCTGCTCGTCAATGTACAGCTTGATGTGATTCTGTCGCTGTCTGGCACGACGTTCGGCATACTCACGCCGTATGAGCTGCAAGGGCTGCTGCTGCTGTTCGCTGCTCTCCGGCAAAATGGCCCGATCGATGAGCCA